CCTAGGAACTTGGTTCAAGATCCTGCGGCTGGGGCCGGGCTCGCAGGTGATTTGACAACATCACCCTGGTCTACCCAAAGATCCCCTGCCCCTCTGGGTCTTCCCTGGCAAGTGGGGAAAACTGCCCCTCTGGGAGACCTCTCCCACCTGCTACTTGCTGTGGGGAGGGGGCAATTAGAGTGCCATTAGTCAGGGCTTTTCCTTGCAAGTAACAGAAACACACCCTGGCTGATTAAGCAGAAAAGGAGCTCCTTAAAAGGAAGTTAACTCACGGGATGGGTTGAGGGGCTGGTGGACCTGGCTCAAGGCTGTGCCTCCAGGATCAGTGCCCGGAAACAACCATAGAAACAGCTGGATGAGCAAAACACAACCATGCTCTCGCTCCTCTAGGACATTTCTGCACCAAGAACTTTGCCCTAAACTGAGGGCCCGTAGCCACCCTCACCACACTGAGCCTCCTTCTCTGGGTTCTCACTTCCATATAGTTTCTCCCGGGCATCTGATTGGCGGAGCCGGGTCACACACAGGTGCCTTGGCTTCAAGGAAGGCTGGAAAGCCGACATTCCTGGGTCCCACCTCCTCCATGGGGAGACGGAAATTTCTCAAATATAACAAAATGTTGAAAACGTGGTGGGCATACAGAAAACAGGACAAGCAGCAGACACAGCATCTATTATTCCCCAGGTGCTTGAAGGACCACATGGCAGCCTGACCTCATTTGATCTTGTCTCTCTCATGAGGGAACTGGGGACTTCTGCAAGAGACCTAGGCTGGCCCGCTCTGTTTTGTGACTGTCCAGAACTTTTACACTTGCCCCCCACCCCCAGACATGTAGATTTCATGGGGCTGTGAGGCAGAAAGTCCACCCACATCTAGTTATGGGGTAGGTAAATAACTCGGACCGGATCAACCACTGCAGTCTGTTTTGCAACAACAGTGATTGGTCCAAGGAAGGCCGATGATCAGAACAGTGCCTTTTCAAATTTTCCCTGGGATTGGTAGGGTGATGTATGTGCGTGGGGGAGGTGGAGAAGCTCTCTTTTGCCATGCAGTTGTTAAGATAGGAGGAAACGCATTGATTGCAGCTGGGGTCATCTTCCCTTACCCCATGAAAGAAATTATATGCAGTAGAAGAAAAATCTGCCCATGTGAAGGAGGGATGGTGAGACAGCCAGGAAAATATGGTTTCATTTCCTGGATCCAGCTAAGCCTGAAGCCTTTCTATCTCTGGTCTTTAATTACAGGAGCCAATAAGTTCCTTTATACAGCGTCAGTTAGTTGGAGTTGGATTTCTCTCATAACTGAGTCTTTGTAATAAGCCACCCACTCTCTAGTGGGAAATTGACTATGAAACATTTTCTGTCCATTAGTTCATTTGGTAGTGGATTTTAAAGTAAGGAGGGAGCTTTAACAATAAAAAATAATAAGTATTGTTATTCAAATTTTACATAGAAGAAACTTTGGGTTCAGAGAGTTTAAGGGACTTGTCCAAGTCCAACAGCTAATTGTGTATGGCTTGGATTTGAACTCAGTTCTGCCTACCTTTATGTTCAGCACTTTTTCTAGAGTCAAGTTCTATTTTCAGAACTAATTCCATTCTTTATAGTTTTCTGCAATCCTTGGTATACTCAGGCCTTTCAAAGCCAGTTCTGTCCTCCTGATAACAGAATAACTACAATAGCTTATAGAATATTCCTAGGTGTCTTCATTTTCAAAAGGTATAAAGGCCAAGGTATAAAGCTTTGAAGGAGAAATTTCAGTCTGATTGTGGATGTGGGGGACTCGGAGCTCCTGGAACTTCAATCCTCGTACCCACACTTATGGGAAACCCTGACCCTCTGGGAGGCCTTTCCCTAGCTAGAATGCCTTTTTCTGGGAAACCCAAGGATTTCTAGATGGTAGGGGCTGCCATATTAACATGTCTTTGGAGTCCTGTGTCATTCATGGGGACCTACCATTTGAGCACAGCCTCTTGCAAGTCCAAATCCTCACCAAACCAGGTCAGCACCTGGAAGTCAGTTACTGGGGAAAGAAACGTGATAGAGAAGAATAATGGGAAATGAGTACTCATTGAGCACAGGCCAATGATGGCAAATCGAGTTCCTCTCCACCCTCAGCTTCACTCACGCATTGGCAAGAACGCCAAGGCAACATCCGAGCTCAACTGGTAATGAGCATGACCACCAGCTCTCTGTCCTCTCTGGCCATGAGCCAGGCACTTTGCATCATTAACCCCACGTTCTCACCACAACCTCTGAGGTGGGAGTTACTTGTCTTATTTTCCAGAGGAGGAAACTGGAGTTCAGAGAGGATGATAATTGCCCTGTAAAAGCTGCTAAGTGGATGATTCTTTAATATAAAAATTAATAAATAAACAACACACCGGCACATTACTTGTCATTTGCCTTCTACATGCAAGACATGTGCTGAGCCTATTGTGTGTATCATCTTCGCTCATTTCCCAAAGGCCTGGTGAGGCGATTCGCCATTTTGCAGGGGAGGGAAGCCCAGAGCTGAGCATCCAAGTGTGGTGCCCGATGTCTGGAGCGAACAGGAAGCAGAGCAGAGGTGGAAGGAAGCAAAGCGTGTCCAAGACCGGTGCCTGGTTCTAACTATTGTTCCCTGCCGGTTTATCTCCACTGTGAGTTGCCGCGTGAGTGTGGGCAGGGATTCTGAGAAAGTGATGGGCTAATGATGACCACAAAAACTGCTCTAAGCATTTCTAGAAAGGCCTTCTAGCACCTCCCTTCTGCCAGGAGCACCTGATGGGGGCTTCCACACAGCACGCTTATTCAGAGCAGGGCTGGCCCATCCCTGTGGCAGCCACCCTTCTTGAGCTTTTTGAGCTCCCTGCCCCGCATGGCCGGGGTGGGGGTGTCAGCCTACAGGCCCTCAGCCCCACCTGCCCTGGCCTGTTCCCATCTGGGGAAGTCAGAGGCATACAGAGCTTTCTACACGAGAAGGATGCTTTGGGAAAAGTCCTCGAGGCAGCTTGGTACTGTAACAAAAATGTTGCCATTGCTCCAGGCCAGGTGACATGAGACAGCAGCGGCTTCCCCATCTGGAAAGCAAGGAGGCTGGCCTATATGACACCCCAATGACTCAGTTGCTCTAAATCATGTGCAATGCCTGCGTCCACTGACGGTTTCTGTGGCCTCTCTCATTCTCTCTTTTCCCCCACCCCCACCCACCCAGCTAGTAATTTTGCCAACATCTTTTTTTTTTTTTAAGATTTTATTTATTTATTTGACAGAGAGATAGACAGAAGAGCACAAGCAGAGGGAATGGCAGAGGGAGTGGGAGAAGCAAGCTCTGCACTGAGCAGGGAACCCAATGTGGGACTCGATCCCAGGAACCTGAGATCATGACCTGAGCTGAAGGCAGACGCTTAACCATCTGAGCCACCCAGGCGCCCTGCCAACATCTTATTAAGAACATTTTCAAACAAGCAGCAAAACTGAATCAGTGTTACAGTGAGCTCCCATATACCCACCTGCTAGATTCCATCCAGTTCTCTTAGCCCGTTTCTGTGGTGACCGCAGAGGCAGAAACCCCCCCCCCATGCCTCCCAGAGGACACGATGATGGGGTTCACAGTTAGGAAGGGATGCGATGGGGATTTTCACCCCACCTGTTCTAGTTAGTGTGAGCTTTTCATCACCATCTTCCACTGTGTCCCCCAATCCTGTGATAAATGATTCAGGTATTTTCTGTGTGGTAACATTTGAGCATGCACCTATATATTTCTTTTAATAAAATCGAGATCATGTCTTTTATTTTCTCATCTGCTTATATTTTCAATTAAATTATTTAATTGTCTCTATTCACATACTAATCCTGCAAATAAACTGGGCCAGGCACTGTCCTGAGTGCTCTATAAGTAATTACAATCTTGGGGCTCCTGGGTGGCTCAGTCGGTTAAGTGTCTGCCTTCGGCTCAGGTCATGATCCCAGGGTCCTGGGATCGAGCCCCGCATCGGGCTCCCTGCTCATCAGGGGCCTGCTTCTCGCTCTCCCTCTGCTGCTCCCCCTGCTTGTGCTCTCTCTCTCTCTCTCTTTCAAATAAATAAATTTTTAAAAATCTTTGAAAACAAAAGTAATTACAATCTTTACAGCAATCTATGGGGAACAACCTCATTAGTTCCAATTAACAAGGGAAACCGAGGCACAGAGAGGTGAAGTAACTTGCCCAAAGTCACACAGCTAGGAGGTGGCAGAGCCTATAAATAAACCCAGCAGTCTGGCTCCAATGTCTGGGCGCTTACCACTAGATACTGTCTTCTTGAATCAGTCTCAGTCCTTCTGTCATACCTGACATTTCCATGCACCTTTGTAAACGCCGTCTAATTTGCCCAACAAAACTTGTGAGGCCAGACATACCAAGAACAGTGTATTAGCTTTCCTGCTGCGTGACAAATCGCTCCAAACAACACACACTATTATCTCTCGGTTTCTGTGGGTCAGGGCCCTGGACACAGCTTAGTGGGTCCCTCCAGCTCCGGGTCTCTCTCATCCCAACAGTCAAGGTGTCATCTGGGACCGCAGTCCTCCCAAGATCACCCACGGCAGGACCCCCTTCTGAGTTCACTCAGGGACAGGATTCGGCTGGAGTGAGGGCTTCCGCTCCTTGCGTGTTGGCCTCTCCCTGGGGCAGCTCCCAACACAGCTGCTGGCTTCATCCGAGGCAGCAGTGGGAGAGAGAGAGAGGGAGCAGTGGGAGAGAGAGAGAGGGAGCAGTGGGAGAGAGAGAGAGGGAGCAGTGGGAGAGAGAAGTCACACTTTTAGAACTTCTTATTGATTTTTTATTATCGTGCTAGAATATGCAGAACACAGAATTCACCATTTTAACCATTTTTAAGGGTACAGTTTTGCGGCATTGAGCACATTCGTAATGTTGCACAACCGTCTCCACTGTCCACCCCCAGAAGTTTTTCATCTTCTTAGAGACTCGGTCCCCATTAAACATTAACTTTCCATTCCCCCCCCCCAGCCCCTGGCAACCTCTGTTCTACTTTCTCGCTCTATGAATTTGACTTCTCTCCTTGATGAAATATGACGAGAGTCTTACAAGTGGAGCCAAATGAGACTTTTTGTGGCTGATTTATTTCACTTAGCACAATGTCTTCATGGTTCATCCACGTTACAGCCTGTGTCAGAACGTCCTCCTTTTGGGGGCTGAATAATATTCCACTCTATGGATAGACCCCACTGTGTTATCCACTCATCTGTCGAGGGACAACTGGGCGGCTCCCACCTCTTGGCTGCTGTGAACACAGGCGTGCGAATATCTGTTGGAGTCCCTGCTTCCGGGTCCTTCGGATACATAGCTAGGAGTGGAATTGCTGGATCATACGGCAATTCTACATTTAACTTTTTGAGGAACCACCATGCTGTTTGCCATGGCAGCCGGGCCATTTTACGTTCTCACCAGGAAGGCACGAGGGTTCCAATTTCTCCACATCCTCGCCAACACTTGTTTCCCGTTTTGTTTTTGGTTTTACAAGAGCCATCCCAAGGAGTGTGACGTGGTATGTCATCAATGGCGTCCCTTTTATAACCTCACTTCAGAAATTAGATCACGTCCGTTTTGCCGTATTCTATTTATAAGAAACAAGTGACTAAGTTTAGCCCACACTCAAGGGAGGACACTATCGAGGGCCTAAATGGCAGGGGGCAGGGATCACTGAAGCTGTTTCAGAAGGCTACCTATCAAAAATGTCATGATTATCTTGTTTTTATATTTTTTATTTATTTATTTATTTTTTTTTAAAGATTTTATTTATTTATTTGTGAGAGAGAATGAGAGACAGAGAGCACGAGAGGGAGGAGGGTCAGAGGGAGAAGCAGACTCCCTGCCGAGCAGGGAGCCCGATGCGGGACTCGATCCAGGGACTCCAGGATCATGACCTGAGCCGAAGGCAGTCGCTTAACCGACTGAGCCACCCAGGCGCCCTATTTTTTATTACTTTAAATTACAGCGGCATATTATTGGATTTGGCACCATTGTGTAATGGCGAATATAGGGGCTTTGTGGCTAGAAAGATCGGAGTTTAAATTGGATCCTTGTCTTCCCAGCTGTGTAACCTTGAGAAGTTACTAGACCTCTCTGAGGCTTGGTTTTCTTTGTTAAGTAGGAATAAAAATACCTACCTTGAAAGATTATTGCAAGAATTAAATGAACTAATGTATGTAATGTATCCTACACACTGTATGATCTCAATAAATGATATCTCACCATGATCGTCACCATCACCATCATCACTGTGACAAGAACAAAGTTAGTAATCAAAGCTAGGCGTGGTGGTTTTCCGTCAGGGTGTCCTTACAAGCATCACCGCCAGGTGGCAGATGTTGTCAGGCCGGGTATTAACCTCTCCTTGTTGGTACGAGATAAAGATGTGTGTGTAGAAACAGCTAAGGATTATTTTGAGCAGGGTGAGCCTATGAAAAAACATAATATCACAATCTGTACATCGGGATTAAGCTATTATTTCATTGTCCTTCCGTGAGCTTATGTTCTGTTCCTCTGCTGCTCCCCAGCCCCTGCAGAGGACACACCCTTCCCCACATCCTCCTGCCTTGACTGGCTCCTGCCAGCCCCGTTATGGGCAGCTCAGAAAGCTTTCTCAAGCCTCCCTGCCTTTGCTTGAGCTTCCTCTGCTTCTGTCCTATTTATGTCAGGCCTCACCTTACTCTAGAAGCTTAAGCAGCTCCTAGCAGCTCATGTCAGGTCTGACATCATTCTAGAAGCCCTCCCTGACCTCCCCACCCAAACCTCAGGTTGCATAGGCTCCATCATCCAGGCTCTCCTCAATCACAGCCCTGACTCCACCCACTGTAACCTCTGATCCTCTGTGGCATCCAGTAGGACATACGGGCAGATAATCATTCTGTAAATATTTACCAATTTCCCTCTCTGTGCCAGGCATTAGGTGCGAGGGACCTGCTGGCGGCCTTTCTTTGAATAAACAAACCAGAATCTTGAAATACAGAGCCTCTATTGAAGACATCATCAGACCTCCGAGCAATGAGAAGAAACTTGCACCTCTTTTCAGTTCTTGACAGGGCCGCTAGATAAAATACAGGATGCCTATTTAAATTCAAATTCCAGAAAAATGACAAATTATTTTTCAGTATTAATATATCTGAATCAATATATAAGACATATTCAATAATAATAGAAATAATAAACAATAAATTAAATAATAGGTCCTAAATGTTGCAAAGGACAGGTGAATACTAAAAATGTGTTGTTGTTTATCTGAAATTCAAACTCAAGTGGGCATGGTGGGTTTTTGTTGTTTTGGATTGGGTTTGAGTGCTGACCAATCCAATGAAAGGCCTCGTTTCTAGGATGTCCGTATAACATGGCAGGTGTGGTTACATTTCCACGAAACGCCCATGAGGCACAAGCCTGCCTCTATTGAAAACCAAAGGTATTTTGAAGTTTAACGGACTATTATTTTTTGACCCAGAAATCCCTCTTTCCAGCTGATTGTATGTTTTCTGACCTTGAGGGACCTCACCCACTCCAGAAACGTTTGGTGTGATGTATGGAAAAGCTTTGGTCTTAAAGCACAGTCATGACGGGGAGTGAGGGTAGGATGGGGCTCGGGGGAGAGGGTTCTTTCTTGGCTGCGCTTAGACAGGTTTAAATTCTGCTCAGTCTTGACGGTCTTCCGTGATGGTGGCCAGTCCACTATCTCTTCTTCTCTGGCCTTGAAGCTGTGTCCCAGGCACACCGCCCACTGCCCTGATTTCACGGACGCATGGAGCCAGTCAGAGGCTCCTCAGAGAAGGCGCCCAAACATCCCAGGCCAGTGGACTGGCAGCTGATTCTGGACACTCCCCCGGGGCACTGTGAGGGAAAGAGCCCTGGATCTGGGTCTAAAACCCGGATCCGAGTTCTGACTCATCCACCTGCCAGCTGGATGACACTCATTCTAAAGTCACACGTGCATCTATGAATGGGCTATTAGACTCCATGTTAGGGACCAGGGTATGAATAATGCTAATGAAACATTTCTATTAGCTTCAAGTCCCCAAAGTGAACTGACATCGAGCAGCTCCCTTTACCTCTTTGAGCCTGTTTCTAATCTGTAAATATTTATTCTGTAAAAGGGGGCACCTAAGAGGGACCTACAACCTTTCACCTAGAAGAACCCTTGGGGCTAAACGTGCTCCCTTAGGCAGGTAACCTAGTGGACGTTATGACTAACAAAAGAAAACCATTCACGCTGGGGTGGGGGGTGAATTCTTCCCCTCTCTGGAGGTGCTCGATGCCCCTGCCATTCAGCAGTGGGATTCATTTCCCCTTCCCTTGGGTCTGGGCTGGACCGTGACTACTTGGACCAATAGAACACAGCAAGCGTGACAATGCCCTTGAGTGGACTTGCAGCTCTGCCTCGTTCTTGTGGAACATGAGTCACCATGTGAAAGTCCCACTACCCTGCTGGGGAGACCACATGGAGAGGCCCTGAGACCACATGGGGAGGAAAAGGGGCTCCACTGAGCCCAGCCATCCAGATGTGCTCGCCAAGGTGCCAGACATAGGAATGAAGCCGAGCCTCCAGCTGAATGCCCCCACGTGACCACTGGGGCCATCACGGGAGGCGGAAGACTCACCCAGCCAAGCCCTGCCCCGATTCCTGACCCCAAATACCACGAGATACAACAAAATGGTGGGTTTTTTTTTTTTTTAAGATTTTATTTATTATTTATTTGAGAGAGAGAGAATGAGCGAGCGAGAGAGAGAGCACAGGAGCAGGCGGAGGGAGAGGGAGAAGCAGACTCCCCACTGAGCAGGGAGCCTGATGCGGGGCTCGATCCCAGGGCCCTGAGACCACGACCAGAGCCAAAGGCAGACCCTCAACCGACTGAGCCCCCCAGGCGCCCCTAAATGGTGGTTGTTTTAAGTCAGTGAGTTTTGAGACCTTGTGTTGTACAGCAGTAGAAAGCTGGAATTCCCAACAGCTTAAGCTGCCCCCTCTACCCTGGAGCCTGGTCTCATCTGGAAGCTCTTGAGAGGGACAGTAGGGCAGGAGGAATGAGGGGAATAGTCTAAAGAGCCAGAGAAGATTATGAAAGTAAAAAAAGGAATATGCCCTTTAGCCCAGAAATGTCATTCCTAGGAATCCATCCTACTGAAATATTTGCACATGTGTTTGCTAGGATATGCAAGCAAGATGGTTCCCCGCAGGGGTGTTTGTGATCAGAGCGCCGGGAGGCAACCTAGGGGTCCACCAATAGGAAGATTAAATAAATTAGGGCACATCTAAACAATGGAACAGTAAGGGGTTATTTATTTATTTGAGAGAGAGAGAGAGAGAACACAAATAGGGGGAGGAGCAGAGGGAGAGGGAAGAGCAGACTCCTCCCAAGCGTGTAGCCTGACGCAGGGCTTGATCCCACAACCCCGAGACCACAACCGCAAACAAAAATCAAGAGTCGGACACCCAACTGACTGAGCCACCCAGGCACCCCTGTAAGGAAGTATTTTAAAAGAATGGAGTAGATCTGTGTGTACTGATAAGGAAAGGCCAACTGAGTCATGAGACGTACATCAGCATTTCCTCAGTGCGTCCCCAAACTCCCTTTGGAGAACTGCTTCTTCCCCACATTCTGTGCCGGTGGTTTGGGTTGGACTCTATTCCTCCCACTGTCCCCAGGGCTGGAGCACGGGACTCAGGCCTGGCCAAGCAGGGCACCAGCTTTTCTCAGCCACAGTGATGGTTCCGAACAAACAAGCTTGTCTGAACACAAGCCAGGCCTGGAGCGGGCACTCCGTGCAGTGCCTCAGCGATTGAGGAGAGATGATTAGAGCTGCTTCTTGCAACTGTGGTGCCCTCCTGAGACTGCAGCTCAGCTCCTGACCTGGCAGCCCTGGGATCTCCAAACTGAGCTAACTCCCACCATTCCGACCAACCGCGTCCCTGCCTGCCTTCACCAGGGCTGGTACCTTGAAACCAAAACACCCTCATGGATCCAGAAGCTTGCAATATTTTAATAGTGGTCACCTCTGAGGAGAGTTAAGAAGCTTTTCAGTTATATTATTCATAATTTTTGATTAGCATATACTACTTTCAAAATTCAAAAGTACATTGCAAAGACATGGGTCTGGGGATGTCTTTTTCAGCTTATGTCCTTTCGCTTCCCATCTTCCTGGCTGCCTTGAAACAGGTCTGCTTGGTTGCAAGTTATGTAAAGCAAATCAAGATGGGCTGTAAATTTTTAATAACGGCTCTATTGAGATATAATTCACATATCATAAAATTCATCCTTTTAAAACGTACAGTTCAGTGGTTTTAGTGCAGCCACCAAGCTGTGCCACCAGCATCCATTCTAACTTCAGAACATTCTCATGGCCCCAGAAGGAAGCTCAGGGCAGGTTAGCAGTCTCTCTCCACCACCGATCTATTCTCCGTCTCTCTGGATCTGCCTATTCTGGCCATTCACATACACTGAATTATATGGTCTGTGATCTTTTGAGTCTGGCATCTTTCACATAGCATCGTGTTTTGTTTTGTTTTGTTTTTAAGATTTTATTTATTTATTCGACAGAGAGAGAGAGAGCCAGAAAGCACAAGCAGGGGAAGGGGCAGAGGCAGAGGGAGGAGAAGCAGGCTCCCTGCTGAGCAGGGAGCCTGATGCGGAACTCGATCCCAGGACCCTGAGATCACGACCCGAGCCGAAGGCAGACGCTTAACCAACTGAGCCACCCAGGTATCCTTAGCATCATGTTTTTAAGGTTCATCCATGTTGTAACAGACGTCAGTCACTGCTCCATTCCTTCTTTTGTTTCTGTGTAGTTTTTAAAACTTTTTTTTACTTTGGTAAAATGTGCTTAAGACTTACCGTTTTAACTATTTTTCAGTGTGCAGGGCAGGGGCATTAAGCACCTTTCCACTGTCAAGCAACCATCACCACCACCCATCTCCAGAATGTTTTCATCAACCTATATTGAAACTCTGTCCCCCTTAAAAGGATAGCTCCCCATTCCTCCTCCCCCAACACCTGGTAAGCACAGTTCTACTTTCTGATCTATGCATTTGACTATTCCACAGACCCCTTATAAGTGGAAGAATACAGGAAATATTGTATATGCTCCATATAAGAATACTAAAATAAATAAATAAATAAATAAATAAATATTTATATGTTCATCCATTTCATCCATGTTGGTAGCTGTATCAGTATTTTGTTGTCCTTTTTTTTTAGAGAGAGATAGAGAGCACGCTAGCATGCAAGCAGTGGGGGAGAGGCAGAGGGAAAGGGGAGAGAGAATCTCAAGCAGGCTTCACACCCAGCACAGGACCCTATATGGGGCTAGATCTCACCCCAAGATCATGACCTGAGCCAAAACCAAGAGTCAGACGCTTAACTCACTGAGCCACCCAGGTGCCCCAAGATTTAATTGCTTTTTTTTTTTAAGATTTTATTTATTTGACACAGAGAGACACAGCGAGAGAGGGAACACAAGCAGGGGGAGTGGGAGAGGGAGAAGCAGGGAGCCCGATGTGGGGCTCGATCCCAGGACCCTGGGATCATGACCTGAGCCGAAGGCAGCTGCTTAACCGACTGAGCCACCCAGGGGCCCCAATTTCATTGCTTTTTAAGGCAAAATATTATTCCATTGTATGAATGGACCATGTTTTACTTATTCATTCATCAGTTGATGGACATTTGCGTCATTTCCACTTTTTGGCTACTGTGAATAATGGTGTCACGTGTATTGACGTACAAGTTTTTGTGTGCACATATGTTTTTGTTTATCTTGGGTTTACACCTAGCAGTGGAATTGCTGAGTCATATGGGAACTGCACATTTGAGTTTTTGAACAACAGCCAAACTGCTTGCTACACCAGCCATATCATTTTACATTCCCACCAACAACGGAAGAGGGTTCCAATTTCTCCACATCTTCACCAACGCTTGTGATTGTTCGTCTTTTTAATGAAGTATTATCTCACTGTGGTTTTGATTTGCATTTCCCTAATGAGTAATGATGCTGTGCATCTTTCCACGTGCTATTGGCTTGTTTCCATTTTCAGGCTAGCTGAAGACCCAAGATACAAGTACATCTATCAAAATGAAGAGTACTATGGAGTACAGTTTCCATGAGAGTGGGCAGCATCTCTGTCTCGCACTATACTCTAATTGTGGAGCATGCAAGTGTACCTGATCCTAGAAGGTGTTTGTGACACATTACACAAGGCCACAATCTCTTTTATACTCCTTCTATTGAGAGGTGGGGTCTATGCTCCTTCCCCTTGGGTTGGGTGGGCCTTGTGACTGCTTTGACCAACAGAATATGGCAGAAGTCACACTGTGCTCATCTCTGTGCCCACGTCTTAAGAGACCATCTATTTCCATTTTGGGTTTCTTGGAACACTCACTCTTGAAACTCAGCTTCCCTGTCCGAAGGAAACCCAAGTAGCCCTAAGGAGAGGCCCAAACATAGAGGAACTAGGAGGTGCACCAGCCAACAGCCCACATCAACATACGAGCCATGTGAGTAAGCCATCTTGGAAATGGATCTTCTTGCCCCAGCTGAGTCACCCTATGTGCTGGGAACAGACATAGGCTATCCCACATAGCCCTGCTTAAACTGAAGTTTCAAGAGTTAAATAAGTGGGTGTTGTTATTTCAAGCCACTGGGTTTTGGGGGTGGAATGTTACACAGAACTAGATATTCACAACAGCGTTCAATAAATAGTTGTTGACTGCCTGATCGTTGACAATTTGTGATTATTGAGAGGGGTAACACATATCATCTCATTTAATCTTTTCAACAATGCTGTTGATGACACAACTTTCCCAAGATCATACAGCTGGTAAGTGGTAGTACTGCAAGTAGACCGCCAAATATTTCTGCTGTCAAAACTAGATGTCCACATTTCCACTACACCATGCTACCTCTCTCTAGAGAACTGGAATGATGTTTGCTAGCCTCCAAGGGGGAGTTAGATCCTTATGGGCTAGACTGATAAAGGAAGGCTTTATGGAGATGGAGCTTGAGCTAATTCTTGAAGAATGAGGAGGAATTATCCAGGTAAAAAAGAAAATCAATGGCATTCCAGGGAAAGATAACAACAGGAGAATGGTCCCCATGCCACTGAACCCTCCGTGGCTTGTGTCCCATTGATTATTTTGGGTTGTCTAACCTGAAGTTTGGAAGTGTGAAACAACCATTTTATAACGTTCATGGATTCTATGGGTCAGAAATTGGGACAGGGCACAGCTGGGAGTTTGCCTCTGTCCCACCATGTTGGGACCTCAGCTGGGGCAGATTCGAAAGCTGGGACGGACCTGGCAGGTAAGGCCTGGAATCATCTAGGTATGGCTTCACTCACATGTGTGGCAGCTGATGCCGCCTGTCAGCTGGGATGTCAGCGGAGCTGCACGTGGCCTCCCCACGTGGGCTAATTTGGGCTTCCTCAGAGCCTGGTGGCTGGGTTTCAAGTGTCGGTGTCCCCAAAGAGCAAGGTGGAAGTGCCGGGCATTTTAATAATTCAGCCCAGAAGCTAGAGAGTGATTTCTGCCATAAAACAGAAGGTTCAAGGGGAGGAGACATAGATGCCACCACTCCATGGAAGGAAAGTTATGGGCACGTAAGGGGCAGGATGGCAGATAAAGTCACAGCCATTACTGAAAAGTAGAAACTGCCTTGATGCAGCTTGTCAACGTGGCACATTAAAAGGAAACATTGCGGGCGCCTGGGTGGCTCAGTTGGTTAAGCGACTGCCTTCAGCTCAGGTCATGATCCTGGAGTCCCGGGATCGAGTCCCGCATCGGGCTCCCTGCTCGGCGGGGAGTCTGCTTCTCCCTCTGACCCTCCTCCCTCTCATGCTCTCTGTCTCTCATTCTCTCTCTCTCAAATAAATAAATAAAATCTTTTAAAAAAAATAAAAAATAAAAGGAAACATTGCTCTGACATCCAAATCCTTCCTGTGGGCTCCTGATAAGATGCCAAGAGCGGGAAATGGTGGTGGTAGAGTTGATTTTATAATACTCAATAATGGTTTGAAAAATTATCTTTCTTGGGGTTTGGATCAATATGGTAGACCGTGCACAGGTTTTTACTGCTACTTCATCCTCAATCCCTAGAGATGGCAGAAAAGAAATATTTAAGAACAGTAGACTCATAACAGGACTCGAAAACTGAGAGCCAAAAGCCGACCACCCACTGATGTTGAGGAGTCTCAGAAGGACAGAGAGCATAGAGAATTGATTTGTTAGGGGAACCACAGTCCAAAACATGTGCCAAAGAGGAAGTCTGTGAGAAGTGGAGTTCCGAGTCATGGACAATGGATTTGAGGAGCAGGATGAGCTCTTCAGGTCATCATCAGGGTGGTTGTTTGAGAATTGACATCTAGAATGGCAGGCGGTTGACCCTGTCCTTTGCCCATCAGCAGGCAGCAAAGGTACTTGGCCCCAGGCCACAGCAATGTGTCCAGAACTTGGGTGGGAAAAGCAAGAGACGGGACAGAGCCCCAGGCAGTTGGTAGAACCTAGAGCAATCTGAGGCCCCTACTCCCAAAACACAGCTTCTAGAACATACTCCCACACTTTTTCTCTTCACCATTGGCCCCAGTCATGCAACAAACTTCCCTGAAATCAGTAAAAGCAAAATCATTAAAGAGAAGCACCACGCTCTGCAGAAGAGGGAGCAGCATGCAAGGAAACAGAAGAAATTTAGTAGAAGTTGTTCAATGTCCTCCAAAGAAAATGAAATGAATAATGCACCCATGAAGCAAGACATAGTCAATGCCTTGCCCATGTCCCCTCATCTTTCCCCTGCATTTCTTTGCCTGAGGGCTTTCCCCTCTTTTAGCCTCCAGAGTTCTCTTTGTATGACATGCTTGAAGTGCTGAGGAATTAACACCCCTCTACTAGGTGCAGCCCTTAACCGATGACCAATGGGAGTCGGTATAAATACCCCAGCTCCCTCACCCCTTGGGAGGATTAGCTCAGAGATGCATGTTCTACAGGGCCTTCCAGGGCTCAATGGCTCACCCCTCATTGGCTGCCTTCCCTTCCCCATCTCACTTCCCCACTCCCCAACAGGTAGTTTCAGGCTTATTTCCCCCAAATAAGCCACTTGAACTCAAATAATTTTTTTCGGATTTTTCTCACTGGAGAACCCAAACTAAGCCTGAGAAACAGGCAGTTAAGAAAAAGGAAGTGGGGAGATGGGCTGGATAACATAATGAGCATAGAAGATAAAGAATTAGGAGGGTATGGAAAATATGAAAAAAGTTGTGATGTGGATAATAGATCCAGAGACTCCCATACCTGTCTTAAAGTGCAGAAATAATTCAAAGGAAGAAATAATCCAAGAAATAATAAGAGAAAAACTCCTCAGGCTGGAAAAAACCCACAAATCTTCAGATTGAATGGTCCATGAATGAAGAACAACTTATGATGATGAAATCTGCAAACACCAAGGGAAAGTTCTAAAAGCTTTTAGAGGTAAAAAGCAGATTACCTACAAAGAAACAAGTTTTGGGGCACCTGGGTGGCTCAGTTGCTTAAGCGTCCAACTGGTGGTTTTGGCTCAGGTCATGATCTCAGGGTCGTGAGATTGAGCCCTGCACTCTCTCTCTCTCTCTCTAAAGAAAAGAAGAGGAGAGGAGAGGAGAGAAGGGAAGGGAAGGGACGGGAAGGGAAGGGAAGGGAAGGGAGAAAAGAGAAGAAAAGAAAAGTTTCAATAGGGTCAGAAATCACATCAGTCATACAGAGGGCTGAAAGACCACAGGACAATCCCTACTAAGTTCCGTGGGAAAGTATCTGGAACTTAGAATCCTACACCTAGCTAAAAATCATTTATGTGAGAGGGGAAAATAAAGACGTTTATAAACATGCCAGAGCCCAGACCCAGAGTCACTTTCAATCAACATGAAAATGAATCCAAGAGCAAGGTTCGCAGTACAGAAAGCAGGGAGTCGAGTTCTGACCGTTCTCGGGGGCTCTGCTCAACGCAGACCTCCACGTGCTGTGCTGTGGCTGGAGCCCGCAAAAGCCGTGCCCACCTCTGACTTCTCCCTTCTTCCCTGCTTTGACATTTAAGCGTGCACTGCCCTGAGAGATGGCATATGGGGCCACAGCAAACCATTTTGCTCTCGCATGGCAACCTCACAGCCGTTCACGTGTTTGCTCTGCCTTCCTGCCTAGATTACAAACTTTCAGGAACAAGGACTAGATCTTGTACATAATCAATCAATCCTCACTGATCTTTAACAGAGCCTGATTTCTCATTTCACATAGTAGGGTATCCACTGCTCCCAGCCTCTCCTTCCCCATCTGAGCTGCTCTAAACACCTGCTCAAAACTTAGTCTGCTGGATTTTCTCCCCTTGCTCTGCCTTTCCAGCTCCATGTCTTCCTTCCCCAACCCCTCGGCCTTTTCCCCAGGCCTCTGCGCTTTCCTGGGTGTTCTGTACTCATTCTCCTGATCAATATAATCAAAGCCAAGAGCCAAGGAGGTGGAGGGTTTATCAAGACCCCATCACATGCCAGGCAGTGTTCTAAACCCTTCATGTGGATTAATGAATTCCTTCCTCACAGCCTGTCCTATGGGATAAGACCTACTATTCATCCCACTTTTTCAGGTGGGGAAACCAAGGCAGAGAGAGGGGAAGTAGCTTGCTCGAGGACTCACAGCAGCTGATAGTGGGAGCTAGGTTTCTAGCCTGGCAGTCTTGCTCTTGACCGTAATGAATTTCTGAGGCATATGGCTGTATTGGACCCCTTCCAGCCAGTAAATGCCCAAAGATCTAAAAATGAGTGGGATATACTCGGGACAGGGGAGAACAACAGAGCAGAATTGTTGAATTAAGATTGGAGTTAATGGGAGACAGCAAGTGAAAATGAGTTTGGAAGGTGTGGCATGCGCAGAGTTGTAATATGTCACATGAGACACGTACGTAGTTGTAGAGCTTGCAAAGGACACCTGCGCGTGCATTTCGCATTCTCCTTGATCCTGAGAGCAATATTCGGAGAGTGGATTCAAGCAAACCATCACTTTTGACCTTTTACGGATGATGAGTCTGATGCTCAGAGAGGTTAAGTGACTTGCTCAAGTCACACAGCCAAGTAATGGCAAAGCACGCACTTAAACACTAGAACCACCTGACTCCAGGCACAAATAACTGGAGCATGAGGTCCTGAGTGATGGTGCAAAATGCCGGTCAGTGCTTAAGCAATATTTGTTAACCGATTCTCTGCAGTTATAAAACATGTTGTTTCTATTAATATATCTCCGGTTTGTCCTCTGGACAAAGGCCAATAATATTTTTGGCGAGGGTTCCACAAGAGAAGGATTTCCTCCTCCACCCATTCATGCCCAATCATCGCTGCCCATGCAGCGGCCCACCCCTCTCCGAACAATCCACGCTTGGAACAGAAACCAGGCGGGGTGGGGGGAGGGGGAGAGAGGGAAGGGAGCAGGAAATCAGGAGAGCTTTTATTTTCCATGACACAGGAGGGACTTCCACCTATTTTCATCAGAAATTTTTAAGATGCTTTACATTTTTTTTTTTCCCAATTACCTGGTTGTTAGGGAAGGCGGGAGGGGAGGAGGGAGGCAAGATAGTAGAGGCCAATGCAAGGGCCCACCGCAGCTCTAAACACTGCAGGACGCTTGCGTTTTCACAGAGATGTTGCTGGAAATAAATAGTGACCTGCAGCCCACTGGAGCTAGAAAGCCGGCACCCAGAGCACACCTTGGGCTTCTGTTCCCCGCTTGGCTGTGGGGCAAGGACCCCGTGAAGGATGGCCTCTGGGACGTCCCTTCTGATCACGCTGGAAGGTCCCTTCAGCTAGCTTTTTCCCAAGTGTCCCCTGGTCCTTGCCTGGCCCTGGGGAGGCAAAGGTGAATAATGCCTGGTCCCCGTTCTTGAGGATCTGGCCACTGACAAGGGAGCCACACGTGGATGTCGTGCCTCTAATCTGGACACACGCATGACACAGAGGCTCCCAAGGGTCTGTGCGGGACAAGGAGCTAGGACTGTACTATAGGACAAAGACTTCAGCTGTTGGCCAGTGCTGGAATCATGGCTCCCCAGTTTCCTAGCTCTGTGACCCTGCCCCGACTTCTTTAGGCCTCGGTTCTCCCTGCTGTGAAATGGGGTCACAGAACCACTCACTTTGCAGGGCGGTTGAGAGGAGAAGTAACACCATGGGGACAGGGCAGCTCTTCACCACTCAGAGCAGAAAGTGTGAGCTTGGGAGGAGAGGGTGGACCGGGCGCCGAGAAAGGGGGTCAGTGCAGAGAGGAGGGCTGAGGTCCCTAGCAGGACGGAGGGGGGATTAAGCCAACGGAAGTGCCCCACTCCCCCGTGGCCAGGAGGAGAAGCAGGACAGGCCCAGAGAGAAGGGGAGCGGGGCCAGGGCCCACGTGTGTTGGAGAGACTGTGGACCTGTCTCTGGGTCCAAACTGCACTCCCACCTCTGCTCAGACAGGTAGCTTCCTGCCGGGATGGGAAATTGCTTTGCCTTGGAATTTTTCTGCCTGGGGGTGTGTTTTTAGAGTCAAGTTCAGCGTTAAGAATCTCCAGTGACTGATATTCCTGAGACAGATGCGGAGGAGGCAGACCCGGATTGCATGGTCTCCAGTGGGAAGCAGGGAGGGGACGAGGAGGGACAGAGATGGCTTGCCAGATGCCCTTGCCCAACTCTGGGGCCATCCCCAGGGTCCTCTCGTGCAGCCACTGCCTCTCCTCTCCATGTTAGAGTACAAAGGTGGGGCTCACGTGGGAAGGCTCAGACCAGAAGTGCCCAGAATCCTGGAACACCAGGGTTGGGAAAGCACCCTGCTCGGCCCACCCACTGTATAAGACAGGAAGAGAGACAGGACTACCTGAGGTCACACGCTGCGTCATGCTGGAGAGTCCCCACCGAGAGCTGATCTCATCATTGTGTTCTGCTGTGGACAGAGGGAGCCAGCCACCTGCCGCCCGCCCTCAGCAAGTGGGCTGTGATCTGACAGCTCACCTTTCGGGAGTTTGCTAGACTAACAACAATGCTGAGCCATACAATCGGGAATATTATCTTCCCCATCTTCCTGATGAAGGAATCGAAGCTCAGGGGGCTGGGTGACCTCTCCAAGGTCACAGCTGTAGTTTATGGGGACGTAGGTCATTCTGCCTCAGAGACTGTGTCCATCCTCCTAGCTCAGGAAGTCTCCAGAGGAGTGCCACCATGCTCCAACCTTAGAATTTTGCTGCCTTTGAAAGCAGCTCAGATCCCAGCAGGCCTCCGAGAATGTCACTTCTGTGTGGCAGGTGCAGACGTCTGTACCTTCCCTTGGATTTCTACCACCTCTTTTATGTCCCAGCAGTGCCCAAGTGGATCGATTTAGGTTAAAACGGTGGATTTATGTAATACCTTGTGATGCCGGGAACAAGTTCAGGCTCGTGGTTGCAGATCTGGGTTTGAGTCCTGTCTTTGCCTCCCAGTTCGGAGTAACTTTACTTAGGTCAATTACAAAATGTGGGTTTTTGTTTTTTTTTTTTTGACCAAATAATCAAAAGTCCAAGTTACAAAAGTCAAAAGCGTACAAACTGAAAAACAAATCTCTCTCCCAGCCTGTTCCCTAGCCCCTCAGTTTCCCTTCCCAGAGGCCATCACTTATCATTTCCCTGCATCTTCTACAGATGCTCAATGAATGTGCAGGCATTTTGTGCTCGATCGTAAGGATAAAGCTACTTTAAGAAGAGAGGCCTCAGTGAACACCTAGGTTTCAGCGTAATGGGAAGACAAAAGCATTGTAAAGACTTTGATCTGCGTTCTGTTGTCCCTCCTGGCCTTCTGCTTCCTGAGAGCAAAGGTGGGAAGGAGGAAGCATTTAGAGTCAAAGGGTCAAAATGCCTGTGATTTACCCCCACATGGGTCAGCAAAAACATTAATGGTGGTAATACAGTTAATAATAAGGAGCAACGAAACATTAACCAATGAGGATTCTCGGGCAATGACGCACAAGGATTTGTGGTACCATTCTTTCAACTTTTCTGCGAGCTTGAACAGGTTTTCCAAATGAAAATTTGGGGGAAAAACAAGAAATGACTTAGGAAGCCAGAAAGTCTACGTCCGGGCAGCAAAAAGCAGGAGTGGAATAATAGCCTGAGTGGTTAGGAGCTGCTCAGGGTGGGCGGGACATGCCAGGAAGGCTGTGGGGTGGGGGCCAGCTAGGAGGCCAGCCAGCCCAGTGCTGAACCCATCTTCAGTGAACCCATCTCTAGCTCCCTAAGTGCAGCCAGGGGGGCAGGCAGAACAGGGTCATGTTACATTTTTAATGAGCATTTCCCACTTTCTAATGATGTTCGTTGGCCATCGTCTCTGAATGCCTGTTCATGCCTTGTGTTCATCTTTCTATTAGGTTGTTTGTTTTTTCCTTAAGGATTGGGGAATCCCTTCCACATTCTAGATAATAATCCTATGTAATTTATGTGTTGAAAATATCTTCACCTAGTTTGTGGGGAGTTTGGTTTTGTTTATTTCACTCCTGTCGTGGTATCTTTTGATGATTTTTTAATGCAGTGAGACTTATGAATCTTCTTTCTTGAATCGTTTGTGCCTTTTATGTTTTAAGAAATCCTTCCCTGGGGTGCCTGGGTTGGCTCAGTTGGTTAGCATCCAACTCTTGATTTCAGCTCAGGTCATGATCTCAGGGTTGTGAGATAGAACCCTGCATCAGGCTCTGTACTCAGTGGGGAGTCTGCTTGAGATTCTCTCTCTTCCTCTCCCTCTGCCCATCCTCACGCTCATTCTCTCTCTCTCAAATAAATAAATAAATCTTTTTTAAAAAGAAGGAAAGAAAGAAATCCTTCCCTGCTGCTAGGTCATAGAGATAGTATCCTATTTTTTTTCTAAAAGTCTTAAAGTTTTGCCTTTCATATTTACATCTGGAGTTGATTTTGTTAAGGTGTGAGGTAGGGATCTGTTCTCACTTTTATTTTTGTTTTGTTGTTGTTGTTGTTGTTGTTTTAAAGATTTTATTTATTTATTTGAGAGAGAGAATGAGAGACAGAGAGCATGAGAGGGAGGAGGGTCAGAGGGAGAAGCAGACTCCCTGCCAAGCAGGGAGCCCGATGCGGGACTCGATCCCGGGACTCCAGGATCATGACCTGAGCCGAAGGCAGTCGCTTAACCAACTGAGCCACCCAGGCGCCCTGTTCTCACTTTTAAAAAAAGATTTTATTTATTAATTTGAGAGAGAGAGTGCATGCGCACATGCACAAGTTGGGGGAGGGGCAGAGGGAGGGAGAGAAGGAGAGAATCAGACTCTGCTGAGCACAGAGTCCAACATGGGGTTTGGTCTCATGACCCTGAGATCACGACCTGACCTGAAATCAAGAGTCAGATGCCCAACCGACTGAGTCACCCAGGTGCCCCTTTTGTTCTCTTTTTTTTTCCCCCTTTGGCTACTCACTGTTATTTGCCGACCTACTGGAAAATAGACTCAGGCTGGAGATACCAACCCAGGGCAGGCTCCAGCACAGGGCTCCAGCAACGAGGAGAGGGAGAACTCTTAAGAAGTGGTCCCGGTGCAAAGGCCAATGTCGGCACCTTCCCACCATACACAAAAACAGTAGGTCTTACTAAGCCAGAGGGAGTCTTTAGGTGAGGCTACAGGGAGGGAGGGGGGCCTTAGTGAAGAACGGAAGACCCACTCAAGAGGGAGTGTAGTTTCAGTAACCAGGGTGATCCTGTAGTGGCCCTACAGACAGTCAAGGAATTGAGGAATTAAGCTGCTCTCTGGAGGGAGCCAGGAGTCAGGCTGAACAATACGGGTCTGAGCAGAAACTCCAGCCCTCTCTCGCCTTCTCCTGCTCCAGCTGAGCTCTGCCTGGACTTAGGGGGCCCTCGGCTTCAACAAAGCCCTCACCTTGCCCTGGGCCTGAGCTCACCTAGGCTGCAGGGTAGCCGTAAACACAGAGGGGTGTGTGATGGGAAGAGGAGGCCAGAGACACACCAGTGGGAGGGGGCCCGTCACCGCCGGCAGAAGGAAGCCCAGACCTCCCGCTGCACGTGGCAGGAGACCACACTGCCCTGTGTTAGCCTTAGCGCTGCCCTCCTAGTGCGATGACCTTGGGAAGCCAACAGCACCTCTGGGCTACCCTGCAAAGGGGACTCTAATGGGGATCTACCCAAGCAGGTTATTGTGAGGCCTGGGGATAATGAGGCAAACAGTTGGTACTCAATACACGAATAAAATTTATCATTTGCATGGAGCTACAGTGCTGATAATCAAGCCCATGACGATTTTCCCACAACCTGTTTTTGCCGCCTTATTTCCTATGACTCCATCCATTTCTGCTAGCCCGAGTCTCCCCTGTGTGTCGTGACCATCTATCTTGGGGTCTGGTTAAATACACAATGGCCCATCCATTGCATGGAACACCACATAGTCATTGTAAGGAAGAGGACACATCTGAACCAACTGATCAGAAACATTGTCCAGATATATGCTGATCAGATAAGGCAAGATCAGAACCTGTGTAAAGCAGGATGCTTCGATGCCGTACTTGAAAGCATATTTCTCAACACACACAGTTGCACACACATATATGTGCTGGTATATGCACGGGTCATCTCCTATAACACACAGTCCTCTGGGGAGAGGGCCCGGTGGAACAGGCCGGCTTTGGCTTTTCTTTTTCCTCTTTCTGTGCAACTGGCTTTCCCTACCAACACGGATTTGGAACAGTTCTGCAGGGGCCTAGGGTCACTTTTCATGCATGGGCTCCACATCATCGCCCCCCCGCCCCAGCAAGCTCCACTGCCATCCCCACCTTACAAGCGAATGAAGCAAGGCACAGAGAGATTAAGTAACTCACTGAAAGACACACAGCAAAGAAGGAGTGGAGCTGGGATTCAAATTTGGACGGTGAGGTTCCAGAGTCCCCCTTGCTAGGTGACACTGTCTCTTAACGTATTCTTCCTTATCTGTTTGAAAAAATTCACACCAATTTTCTGTTTCAGGCCATTTTTAAACTTTTTTTTTTAAGAGAGTGTGCACAAGCCTGTGCGTGAGTTGGGGGCCAGGGCAGAGGGAGAGAGAGAATCTTCGGCAGGCTCCATGCCCAGTGCGGAGCCCGACAGGGGCCTCAGTCTCACAACCCGGAGATCACGACCTGAGCCAAAATCAAGAGTCAGATGCTTAACTGACTGCGCCACCCAAGTGCCCCTCAGGCCATTTTTTAATTCTTGTGTGTGTGCGTGTGTGTGTGTGTGTGTGTTTTAAAAAGAAACAGCAATGCCTATGATGAACTGTTCCATAATCTGTATTTTTTTTTAACTCTGGTTAATATACAGCGTTATATTATTTTCAGGTGTACAATATAGCACATAATCTGTAATTCTTATCATCTGTTGGCTGTTTTCAGCCCTCCCTGACCACAGCCTGATGGGAGGCGCAGGTGAGGGAAGAACATGACTTTGGGAGTCAGGTGATGCCCATCCTCCTCTCAGCTCTGCCTGAATTGTGGCACGATCGAGGCCAGGCCCCTTCCCCTCCCTGGCCTCAGCCTCCATCTGCAGAGCTAGGATGACCCTGGAGCCAGTGACCTCCACGGGCCCTCCTGCTCAAGGATTCTCTGGCTCTCACTGGTCTATTTTTGCCTGACACCTCTCCCAGGGGCCTGAGGGCCTGAGCTAGTTTCCCTGGCTGGCCCCGATCCAGGCAGCTCAGGTGGAGAGCGCCTGCTAATGAGGCCAAGGTCATGGGCCAGTTAGCGGCTCTTGGAGAAAACCGAGGCTCTGTGGCCAGACCGCAGCTCCCCTATCAGTCACTGGGCTCAGGCACAGGCGGGCCCTGGGGGAAGATGAGAACAAAGCTGGCTCCTGCAAGTCATCACTACCAGAAGGAGCCACTGGGAGCCCAGGGCCTGGTCACCTTTTGTGACTGCAGTTCAGTGTGCGTGTCTCCCAATCACACTGACAAGCCGGGAGTGTATGGGGTGGGGGCGGGGAGAAGACCAGATGGTTTGTCGAGTGCACCTCCTCCCTGCAAGCGGACCCACACCAGGTCAAGCCAAGAAGATGAGAACCAAGATGAGCCTCCCCAGGGCTACCTACTGCGGGGCTTCCCTTTCCTTTTCTGTGGGAGTCAGGCCCATGCCTCCTAATCAGAGGCGAGGTGGGGAAGGGCTTCCTCTCGTGTTATTCCCTGCTGCCGAGCACGAGCCGTGTCTGTTTTGTTCACTGCAGCCTCCCTGGCGCCTAGATCAGTGCCTGGCATGCATGCAGTAAAAACTCAATATATATTGTTTGAGTAAATCAAGTCCCCTTTGTGCTAGGGAGAGGCTGTGGGCTGCACAGGCCACAGGAAGGACACAGCATCACCAATGGGCTCTACTTGGTTGTTTCCAACGAGTACGGGCAAGCTTCTGACTCAGAGGAAAACTGTGTAAAGGCTCTAGGAAAAAAGAATAATTCCTCTATAGTGTGCCACCACCCCCTAACTTGAACATTTTGCAAGTTTTTTTTAAATTTTATTTATTTATTCATGAGAGACAGAGAGAGAGTGAGAGAGAGGCAGAGGGAGAAGCAGGCTCCCAAGGAGCAGGGAGCCCGATGCGGGACTCGATCCCAGGACCCTGAGATCATGACCTGAGCCGAAGGCAGACGCTTAGCCATCTGAGCCACCCAGACGCCCTGAACATTTTGCAAATTTGAGTTTTCTTATTCCAGATTTTTCATTTCAGTTCACTGAATATTAAGTGACGATTATATTACTATTAATTTTTAAAGGATTTTTTATTTGAGAGAGAGAGGGCATGAGTGGGGGGGATGGTGGGGGCAGAGGGAGAGACAGACTCCCCATTGAGCAGGAAGCCTGATACAGGGCTCAATCCCAGGACCCCACGATCATGAACTAAGCTGAAGGCAGATGCTTAACCAACTACGCCACCCAGGTATCTCTTATTAATCTTTAACTGCGTTCTTACCATCAGCTGGGCTTTGGGCTAAACACCTAACAAGGATTGATTCATTCACTTTTCATAATAACTGTATAAGATGGGCATTATTCCCACTTTACAGATGAAAAACTGAGGCAGACAGAAGTTAAGTAATTTGCTAAAACTCACATGGACAGTAAGTTCTGGATCTAGGAGTCAAAGTCCAGAGCCCACGCTCTTTTTTTTTTTTAATTTCTTTTTTTTTTTAAGATTTTATTTATTTATTTGAGAGAGAGAGAATGAGAGAGAGCATGAGAAGGAGGAGGGTCAGAGGGAGAAGCAGACTCCCCGCCGAGCAGGGAGCCCGATGCGGGACTCGATCCCGGGACTCCAGGATCATGACCTGAGCCGAAGGCAGTCACTTAACCAACTGAGCCACCCAGGCGCCCCCAGAGCCCACGCTCTTAATCACAACTAATCCTACTCTTCAGAATCCCCTTTGTGTGCATATATCTGTCCATGAGGTGCCAGTGCTTAAAAAATGAAAGAGCCCTTCAACAGGTAAATGGTAAACGAACTGGCAATCCACAACCCGAATACTGCTCAGCAATCAAAAGGAGCAGACGACTGATACGAGCAGCAAACTGAACGACGTCCCGGAGAATCGTGCTGAATATAAAAAGGCAATCTCCAAAAGTTTCATACTGTGTGGTTCCATTTATATAACAGTCTTGCAAGGGCAAAATTCTAGAAATGAAGAATAGATTAGCAATGTCAAGGCTAGAGGAGGGGCAGAGGAGGGAGGGGAAGTGGGTGTGACTATAAAAGGGCAATAGGAGGGATCCTTGTGGGATTAGAAGTGTTCTGTATCTTGACTATGGCAATATCAATATCCTGGTTGGGATACTGAAGAGGAGGAAAAGAAGCCTCCTTTGCTACAAGAAAATACAGGTAGGGGCGTCTGGGTGGCTCAGTCGTTAAAGCGTCTGCCTTTGGCTCAGGTCATGATCCCAGGGTCCTGGGATCGAGTCCCGCGCCTTGCTCCCTGCTCAGCAGGGAGCCTGCTTCTCCCTCTCCCACTCCCCCTGCTTGTGTTCCCTCTCTCGCTGTGTCTGTCTCTGTCAAATAAATAAATAAAATCTTTAAAAAAAAAAAAAAGAAAATACAGCTAGCAGACTATAACTTCAAAGTAGAAACCTGGCTGGTTGTCTGCTAAATCTGTGAGTGTGCTTGCATTTATAGCATTTAAATGTTTATTTGGGGCACCTGGGTGGTGCAGTCGGTTAAGAGGCTGACTCTTGGTTTTGGCTCAGGTTGTGATCTCAGGGTCGTTGAGATCAAGCCCTGTGTTGGGTTCCACACTCAGCACAGAGCCTATTTAAGACGTTCTCTGCCCCTCCCCCCTGCTGGCTCACTCTCAAATATAAATCTTTAAAAATAAATAAATGTTTTATTTATTTGCCAACTTGGGGCACTTGGGTGGCTCAGTCGGTTAAGCATCGGACTCTTAATTTTGGCTCAGGTCACGATCTCAGGGTCATGAGACCAGGCTCCACACCAGGCATAGAGCCGGCTCAAGATTCTCTCTCTCGGGGCGCCTGGGTGGCTCAGTTGTTAAGCATCTGCCTTCAGCTCAGGTCATGATCTCGGGGTCCTGGGATCAAGCCCCACATCGGGCTCCCTGCTCTGCGGGAAGCCTGCTTCTTCCTCTCCCACTCCCCCTGCTTGTGTTCCCTCTCTCGCTGTCTCTCTCTCTGTCAAATAAATAAAATCTTAAAAAAAAAAAAAAAAAAAAGATTCTCTCCCTCTCCCTCTGCCACTCCCCTCTCAAAAAAAAAAAAGTCCATGAGCTATCTCTGTATTATTTTGTACACCTCTAAAATAAAAGGTTTAGGGACACCTGGGTTGCTCAATGCTCAATCGGTTAAGCATCTGCCTTCAGCCCAGGTCATGATCTTGGGGTCCTGGGATCGAGCCCCACATCAGGCTCCCTGCTCTGAGGGAAGCCTGCTTCTCCCTCTCCCTCTGCCTGCAGCTCCCCCTGCTTGTGCTCTCTCTCTCTCTCTGTCAAATAAATAAATTTTTTAAAAAATCTTAAAAAAAAGTACAATCTTTACAGCGACCTATGGGGAACATACTCATTAGCTCCAATTTACAAGGGAAACAAGGCACAGAGAGGTGAAGTAACTTGCCCAAAGTCACACAGCTAGGAGGTGGCAGAGCCTATAAATTACACACTCTCTCTCTGCCTAATAAATAAATAAAATCTTTCAAAAGTAAAATAAAATCAAACGTTTAATTTTTAAAAAAAGAATGCAGCCTGTTCCTGCCTTTGAGGAGCTCATGTCTAGAGTCTCAGACCCCACCTCGCATGCCCAGGTCACTTCCATATGCCAACGCCAGCTATTTCCTAACTTGTATGGAAACGTTTTAAATGACGGACAAAATTGTCCTCTTAAAATTTGTCTTCAACCCTCAGTGCCTGCCGCCGCTTATCTGGTAGGGAGCCCAATCAGAGGAGAAAACAAATGGAGACCCCCTTGTCAAACATCACACCGGAGAGCCAGCGGCTTTGTTCAGATGTCAAGATCATCTTTCATGTCCAATTTAGTAAAAAGGCAGATGTTCATGTTTTTCCCGTTAAGAGATCGTTTCTTTTAAAAATGCATGGGTTTTTTTTCTTGATAGGACTAGTCTGCTTTATATATATACTTCATATACTTTCCACATATATACGGTGGAAAGACTGAGGGTTATGGGGTCAGAGGACCTGCATTTCATCTCAATTCTCCCACTTATAGCTATGGTCTTGACCTTCAGTCAAGAGTCTGGGTCCCTTGATCTCTACGAGACTAATCATACTGAACAGGCCAAGAGTTCCGAATTCTAGGGCTATGGTGGGGATTCGTGAGACATTTGCCATAGAACCTAGCATAATATGTGAGCGGTAGTAAGTGCTCACTAAGTGATATTCAGTGTTGTTAATTACAATTCTAGTTTATGTAAGAAATTAAAGATACGCACTTTTCACAGTGCTGTACAGACTGCACCACGATTTCCAGGGGCTTTGTTGTATCAGCCCGGATAGCGGAGTTGATCCTCCAGCAACGATCCCCAAACCTCAAGGGTTTACAGCAACAGTTTACTTTTATTTATTTATTTTTTTAAGTAGGCTCCATGCCCAGCACGGAAGCAGACACGGGGCTTGAAGTCGTGACCCTGAGATCAAGACCTGAGCTGAGATCAAGAGTCGGACGCTTAAGCAACTGAGCCACCCAGGCGCCCCTACAGGGTTTACTTCTTGCTCATGCCACATGTCCATCATGGGTCGGGTGTAGACTGCTGCTGTGATCTTTCCTCCTGGGCCCAGAAGAAGGGAGCAGCCAGTCTCTGGAACACTGCTCGTTGTCATGGGAAAGGAAACAGTTCTTAGATCAACATTAGATACCATGGCTTAGAAATGACACCCATTATTTCCATTCAGAACTCATTGGTCAGAACAGGTTACAATTCCCACCCCACCATCAGGAGGACAGGAAGAATAAATCTACCTGGCACCTGGAAGGGAGAAAACCAGAGAATGTAGCCAATAGGCCTATGGACTACCACACCACATTTGAGAATCACCACCTCGCCCAGAGGGATGACTAGACAGTCGGGGGGAGGGGGATTGAGGAGGCAGAGGGGGACAGAGAGGACAAGGAGGGCCCCTAGGGATTGCAGTCTTAGGTCAATGTGCAGGGCTGAGGCCAGAAGAGTGCTGAGCCCCTTTTTCCTCTGGACCCGAGAGACAGAGCCTGGACCATTTGGTTCTGCAGGCAAACAAGCCAGCCCTGCTAGTTGGTAGGAGTCGGGCTCTCGCGTGGGCGACGAGGCTGGGCGTAGCCTGTTTCCCTGGCCCTCCAGTTCATGGGCAAAACAGTCACAAAGCAGGATCTCTTCAGCTGCGCCCCTCCTGCCCTGTTGGATCCCAGAGCCTATTCTTCTGATAGTTTGGCAGTCAGCGTCTCTGGTGTGCTCTTTCCATGCCCCCTGTGCCAGCCCCCGGCCCTTCCCTGCTCTGGCTCAAGCCTCTCCTGTCACCGTTGCCGTCAAAGTTCCCCAGGGCTGCAGCTCCCACAGCAGCCGTGCCTGGGCGGACAGTGCCACCTTCCGTCCTTCGGAAGCTGCTGGTGGCTTTCTTGTGCCCCCAGTGCCCCAGATCTCGTGCAGCGGCCCTTGCCAGAAGATTCAGCAAGACTCCAGGTACAGGGGAGCCTGAGGGACCAATGCTAGGCTTCTTGCAGATTCTGGGCCTCAGGCCCTCCTTTGTGTCCCTCCCAGCCACAGGCTTTTGCAGGTGCGGGGCCTCTGCCTTGCTACTCTTACTACCACCTCCTTCCCCATCGTCCTCAACTCTTGTCTCCTCAGACCAAGTCAAGGCGCCAGTATAAGACCCCCCCCTCCCCACGTTGAATCGGCAGCTAATGATGACCAGCCCAGGAGAAGAGACCCACTGGTCCAGAGCATTTCCAAACAGCAAACAAATTCTTCCTATTGCTCATGTGAATTCATACCTTGCCCCCTGGTCAGCTGCTCACACATCCTTTGTGACCTTCAGGGGAGGGATGCAGGCCTGTCAGACCCATTGGCCTCCGTGAGGAAATTTCTGGGGGTTTCCAGTCTGCCCCAACGAGCTGGTGTGGCTAAATGTACATGTGGACCCAAGTGGCTAGGAAAGGAGCCTTCTTTGTTCTCCACTCGCCATGGCTGAACACCTTCCTTGGACCAAGGAGAGCAGACATCTCCTTGCCAGTGGAATTCTGGTCCTCACCGGAGGCCAGGGAGGGCAAAGCCAAGGTTCCAGGCAGGGCCGTTTCTGCAGAGGCCCATCCTCCCAGCACTGCCTCCAACGTATAAAAGAATATCAAGGAGACTCGGTAGCAATACACCTGTCAGGAACAGGCAGGTAAATTAGGATCCACTCTTACCAGGGATGCTAATGCCCAGAGAAAACACATGCCCACAGCTGCTGTCTTCTGGGGCCACCAGGCCATGCGCCCAGTGGTCCGGGCTCCCATGCACAGCACTGCCCCTTCTGGAAGGAAGTCAGATTTGAATCCAGTTCAAATCCAGGCTCTGCTACCTTGCACCAGTTACCTAAACTTCCTGTGCCTCGGTTTCTCCATTTGTCAACGGGGGAGGGGGGTCATGTAATAATTCTGTTTGCAAAGGGTTATTTCAGGGAAGAGGTGAGAGGCCATGCTCCTCCTCCCCCTGACCCCAGGCCCACAGGATCGCTGACCAGGGAGGCCTGGCTGTTATCACACCCGTAGATTCCAGAGTCATAACCACACCCTCCCACTAGTATCCAAGATATACCTGAAAAGGAAACAGATCACACGGAAGTAAGGTGGCCGGGCACCACCCTCAGCCTCAGCCCCAGCTCTCGGCTGGCCAACTCAGAGGAGGCCCACGTCCAGACCTGCTGGGGCCTCCTCCGGTCACAGGGGCCGCGGGACTAACTGGCTGGTGGCCTGGGTTACTTCTCCACTCCGTGTGCATCTCCTGGTCCCCCCTGCTGCAGCCACACACCCAGGGCATGCCGGCCCTGAGCGTGTGGCCTGGAGGACGGGGGGCGCAGCGAGTACAGTACGTGACTTCTGCTGTCGTTGCTTTTGTTTTTCCTCAAGTACCTCTGTAGAACGATGTCAGTATAAGGCACCTTCCTCCAGCACATTACCGTTTTGAAACAAATATGGGGCAAGTTTTCCCACAATCCAACAGAAAGACTTAGCAAATGCTGACAATCCGCAGGACACACAGGACCACCTTTTTCTTCTCCCATCGCCCCCAGACCCAAACCGCTTCCAGGTGCCCCCACTCTGTGCGGGGGCCAGGGCTGGTTTAGCACCTCCAAGAACCTTTGAGATTTCCATGACATTAACCCTTAAGGGGTTAACGACATAAGGCTGAGGAGGAAGCTGTGAAGTCATTTCCCACCGTGTTGCAATGATGGGTTAATCAAGAAGGCTACACCTGGATCTGATTTTCTTTCTTTCTTTTAGAGAGAAAGAGAGAGGGCGAGAGCACGCACGCAAGCTGGGGGGAGGGGCAGAGGCAGAAGGAGAGAGAGAATCTTAAGCAGGTTCCACACTCAGCATGGAGTCAGATGCAGGGCTCGATCTCATGACCCTGAGATCATGACCTGAGGTGATAGCAAGAGTCAGACGCTCAAATGACTGAGCCACCCAGGTGCCCCAGATCTGATTTTCATTTTGATGAAAATAGTCTCTATTAATAGCAAAAGCTCCACAGGACTTACCTCTTGAAGGAAGGATCAGAAACCACAGGGCTTGGGGCGCCTGGGTGGCTCAGTCGTAAAGCGTCTGCCTTCGGCTCAGGTCATGATCCCAGAGTCCTGGGATCGAGCCCTGCATCGGGCTCCCTGCTCAGTGGGGAGCCTGCTTCTCCCTCTCCCACTCCCCCTGCTTGTGTTCCCTTTCTCGCTGTGTCTCTCTCTCTCAAATAAATCTTAAAAAAAAAAAAAGAAAGAAAGAAACCACAGGGCTTGAGGTTGCCAAGCATTGACCGGCTGTGATGACAGGTGCCCATGATGGTGGAGGTTTTACTGGGGAGGGATTTTCATCAGGATCATTATGGTTTGGGCTAGTGTTCCAGTTACAAAGTCCCACAGGTTTTGAGGGGTCTTTCTCAACCTAGCTTTTTCATAAGCCCTCTTAGTTGTGGTTCAGGATCTTACAACACACAATGACAGAAACACCTGTCCTGATTGTTGTGCTAAATGCCTCCAGGTGTTAGTTCATGACATTGCTTCTAACAGGACACTTGATTCCATCACCTGGAAAGATCTAGGTCATCCTCCAAAGCCTAACCTCCTTGGAGGAACTCTCCAGAATCCTCTGTGGCAGAGTTGACTGTCACCAGCTCCTTGCTTCCATGATACCTGTGGGTGCTTAAATATAGCCTCTTGCCTCCTTCCTTGTCTGTCTCCTTCTGCTAGACTCTGGTGGACTAGACTGTGGTTTTCCCTAATATATCCATGTCCTCAGTGTCCTAGGCAAGGCCTAGACTCGAGTAGTCAGAGGTGAACAGTTTTTAAAAAGAAGTGGAAATTAAAAAGCATGAGTTGGGGGTGCCTGGGTGGCTCAGTCGGTTAAGTGTCTGCCTTCAGCTCAGGTCACGATCCCGGAGTCCTGGGATCAAGCCCCACATCAGGCTCGCTGTTCAGCAGGGAGCCTGCTTCTCCCTCTCCCTCTGCCTGATACTCTGCCTACTTGTGATCTCTCTCTCTGTCAAATAAATAAATAAAATCTTAAAAAAAAAAAAAAAAAAAGCATGAGTTGGTGGCCACGATGTTTGGATGGACACAGAAGGCCGTGGGAGCCTGTTTTCAGAAACCTGGATTTTCCACCTCAGCTTATCTCTGCTTGACTTCACATCCTTTCTCTTGAAACAGAGGGAGCTGGGAGTGGCAAGTATTACAGTAACTTGGAAAGGACGCAGGAAGGAAAGCAAATCCCATTTCTGTCCAATGGCTGTGGAGAATAGCAGCTGTTGAAGGCTTCGTGGACAAAGGTCTTTACAAGCAGTTTTGAACTTAATTCTGACATCCACTCCACATTTTATAAATGAAGAAATCAAGGCTCAGAGAGGAGAACCAATTACCCGAGATCTCAGAGATAGTGAGAGACGTAAAAATCCAGGGCTGACTCCAAAGCTGCTAGTCTTTATTCTGGTTTATCTCCAAGGGGAAGTGGATGGGAGTGGTGCTGGAATAGAGAGGTTCAAGTTCACTCTCACCATAAGAGCCTGTTTTGCTAGGATAAACATCATGGGGCAATCTCGACTCTTAATAGCCTGTGAAGAGACTGAAGAGAGATGAATGTTATTACATCAGAAAAGCACAGTGCTGTTTGCACTTTATTTACTTCTTTATCATGTACTTCTGAGTAAGGACAGAATTATCCCTTTATGTATAGAGGAGACTGAGGCAAAAGCAGGGGCAGTGACTTGCTCTACATCACACAGCAAGTCCTTAAAGGACCTAAAGCTCAAAAATAATTTCAATTAAGTTCCTAACAAACGGACTGTCCTGCAGATAACAACCATACACTCTGGACAGAGTATAAAACAACCACTTCAGGGCTCAGTAGAATGAACAAAAAGCAGGAAGGTTTTGAGGGGAGTCAATATGGATTAAGTGATGGGCAAAGAGTGAGTTCTCCATTTTTGCAGCTTTCCCTTGAAAGCAGATATAATTGTGGCACAAATCAATGTGGTTAAAACTCTGATAGAAAGCCTGCCATCTTTCTGGAAAAAACTGGAAACCAGAGGATAGAGCCCAGGGCAACCATGAATGCTGAAGAGTACCAGCAAACTGTTAAAGGAGAAAGCCAAAGAAGGGAAAAATAGTAGACTTATGTCCAATCATATGAATAACTACACTAAATGTTAATGAACTAAATACTCCAATAAAAGTCAGACATTATCAGAATAAATGGGAAAGCAACATGCAACCACATGCTGTCTATAAGAGACATGTAAAGATTATAAACAAACATATGTAAATATTAAATATAAAGACACAGATGGGTTGAAAGTAAATGGGTGGAAAAATATATACTATGCCAACTGCCACCGTAAGAAAGCAGGGATGGCCCTCTTACTATCAGATAGACTTTACTATTACATAGACTTTAAGACAAAATGTATCACCAAACATAACAAGGGACATCTCATAATGATGAAAGGGTCAATTCATTTGGGAGATATGATAATAAAAAATGTGTACGTATCTATCAAAGAGCTTCAAAATACATGATGCAAAAATACATACAAATAAAAGAGAGGAAGTTCCAACTCGCAGGTGGAAAATTTAACATCCTCCTTCCTAACAGTTGGTAGACAAGTAAATAAATCAGTAAAGTCATAGAGAATCTGAACAACACTATTAATTATTTTGAGCTAAGTGATATTTACAGAACCCTGCACACAACTGCTGAATACACATTCTTTTCTGGGGCACATGGTATGGTCACTAAACTAGACCATTTTCTGGGCCATTAAACAAGTATCAATAAATGTAAAGGATGTATATCATGCAGATAATGTTCTCTAACCACAACGGAATTATGCTGAAAATCAATAAAAATAAGATATCTAAGAGAATCCCGAATATTTGGAAATAAAAAGATATACTTCTAAATAATCCATAGGGCAAAGAATAATTCTCAAGGGAAACTTAAAAGCCAGACACTGAACTGAATTAAAATGAAGAGACAGTGGGTTGCTCCAAAAGCATTGCTTAGAGGAATATTTATAATGGTGATAGGCTCAGTAATAGCCCCCCCAAATAGGTCCATGTCTTAATCCCCAGAACCTGTGACTATCACCTCATAGGACAAAATGTACTTTGCTGATGTGATGAAGTTAAGGATCCTGAATAAGGAGATTGTTTTGTATTATCCAAGTGGGCACAAAACGTAATCACAAGTGCCCTTATAAGAGGGAGGAAGGGCCTTCATTTTCATTTGAAAAGAGAAGCATTCAGGGGCACCTGTCTGGCTCAGTCGGTGGAGTGTGTGACTCTTGATCTCTGGGTTGTGAATTCAAGCCCCATGTTGGGTGTAGAGATTACTTAAAAAATAAAATAAAATCTTAAAAAAAAAGAATTCCATTTACAATAGTGCCAGTAAGCATAAAATACTTAAGTGTAAGTTTAATAAAAGTGATGCAAGAGCTCTTCACCAGAAACTACAGAACATTGCTGAGAGCAGTTAGGCAAGACTTAAATGAACACAGACATATAACATGTCACGGACTGGAAGACTCAATCTTGCTACCATGTCCGTTTTCCCCAGATTGATCTGCAGAGTCAGTGTAATACCCATCCAAATCCCAGTAGACATTTTTGGTAGAAATTGAAAAGCTGATTCTAAAATGTATATGGAAATACAAATGATCTGGCATGGCCAAAGCAATTTTAAAAAGAAGAACAAAGTTGGATGTCTTACTCTACTTCATCATATGACTCGCTGTTAAGCTATAGAAAACAAGACAGTGTGGTATTAGCAAAAGGACAGACATATAAATTAATGACACAGACTGGAGAATCCAGAAGTAGACCCAAATACATATGGTCAATTGATTTTCGGCAGAGGAGCCAAGACAGTTCGGTAGAGAAATTAAAGTCTCTTTAACAAATGGTACTGGGACAACTGGATATTCACATGACACAAATGATCATCAGTCTTTATCTCACATCATACACAAAACTTAACTTGAAATGGACCAAAAAGTTAAATGCAAAAGCTTTAACTTAACAACTTGTAGAAGAAAATGTAGGAGAAAGTAATTATAACGTTGGAGCGAGGCAGTGATTTCTTAGGTAAGACTCAAAAAGCATGAACCATAAAAGAAAAAAGTTGATAAATCGTTTTTATCAAAACTAAAAACTCTCATTTTTCAAAACACATGAAGAAAGGGAAAGACAAGTCCCAAAACAGGAGAAAATATTCTCAGTACACATATCTGACAAATGACTTGTATCTAGAACATACTAAATATTCTTACAATTCAATAATAAGACTACAACTTAATTTTTAAAGGGGGGGCAATAGATTTATTTTTATTTATTTATTTGAGAGAGAGAGTACATACGCAGGGGGAGGGGCAGAGGGAGAGGAAGAAGGGAAGCAGACTCCCTGCCTGTCGCAAGGCTAGATCCCACGCCCCAAGATCATGATCTGAGCCCAAACAAAGAGTAGAACGCTTAACCGCCTGAGCAACCCAGGCTAAGTGGGCAATAGATATAAATAGACACTTCACAAAAAGTAGATACAGGAATGATTCATAAGGATATGATAAGATGACTGACATTATCATCAGGGAAATGCAAATGAAACCTTCAGGGAGACACCACTACACTCCCATGGGAATGGCTACAATGAAAGAAATGGCCAATTCCAAGTACTGGTGAGGGTAAGGAGCAACCAGAACTCTCATAAATACTGGTGAGAGCGTAAGGTGTACAACCACTCTGGAAAGTTACTTGGCACGTTCTTCAAAAGGTAAGGATTCCCCTACCATAGCGCACAGTGCATACCCAAGAAAAATGAAAACATGCCCATGCAAGACTAGTACAGAGCAGTCTTGTTAACAATGGCTTCATATTAGAAACAACCCAGGCACCTGGCTGGCTCAGTTGGTGGAGCATGTGACTCTTGATCCCGGGTCATGAGTTCAAGCCCCACGTTGGGTATAGAGATTACTTAAAAATGAAATATTTTTTTTAAAAAAAGAAGAAAAGAAACAATCCAAGTGTCTGTCAAGAGAATAAGGAAAATGTAGTATAGCCATACATATCACTCAGCAGTTTTAAAAAATGAACTACCAGGGAACCTGGATGGCTCAGTCATTTGAGCATCAGACTCTTGGTTTTGGCTCAGGTTGTGACCTCAGAGTCCTGAGATCAAGCCCCGAGTCGGGCTCCATGCTCAGCAACGAGTCTGCTTCTGTCTCTCTCCCTCTCCCTATGCCCCTCCCATACCCTGCTTGTGCTCGCTCACTCTCAGTCTGTTAAAAAAAGGTGGGGGGTTCATCTGGGTGGTTTAGTTGGTCTGCCTTCAGCTCAGGTCATGATCTCAGGTCCTTCAATGTACCAGGGTCAGATGTTCCCAGCATTTGTATTCTGACAGCAAGTCCAAACTCTGTCTTTTAAACCAATCTCATTCCTTCCTGATCCTCAGAGCAACCAGATTCCTACAATCCAGATACCTAGGGGCCTTTTAAATTCTTAGCTGCTGGATTTTTAATAATCTTACTGAGATTTTTCACTACCGGAAGCATAGTGGGGACATCATAGCATCTGAATGATTAGGGCCAGCGTCCTCTCGGTTGATTCAGTGATAGAACCATCAGTCCCTGGCATCAAACATCCTGTGGCTGAGGCCAGCACAGGGAACTCTCCACATCCCTGTGTATCGTTGATGGGGGACGGATAGTTCCCGGATCCCACGGTCTTCGATCTGAGAGGTTGGCCCCACCAAGTGTCCTCCCTGCTGGAGGATGACGTTCAAAGAATGCCAAGACCAGAATTCGGGGCGGCTGATCTATTGCTCCTAGCAATACCCCATGCTAACCATCTGAAGGCTTCACACCTCACACCCTAAGTACTCTCTGCCTCCCGTGGAACACAGCAGAGGTTTTGCAGTTCACAGTTTTGGTCTCTAACAGGATGAATAAAGGATGGTGAGAAAAATAACAAGCAGTGGAGCCGAGAATCATTCCACTCACCAAAGATGAGGAAGCCTGGATATTAAGACTATTTGCTTTGAATAGAGCCTCCAATAAACAGCCGAGGCTCCTTTCCCTCTGGTTAGATTCCTGCCTTGGCCCCAGGCCTCGTGGCTGCAGCTTCCCCATATTATCCCTTGGTCCCCAAATCTTAGCGAGTCAGCATGCATCTTCTCAGGCTAACATGCCCTCCGATATGTGGGGGATTCTGGGTGAGGCTTGTTCCTTGAATCTCCCAAGGACCCCACCTCCCTCCTCAACTTCCCGTAATGCTCCTCAGGCACTGAAGAAAAATAGGCATGTAGAAAGACATTAAAGGCTGGATTCCTTAATGCTGGGCAAATCTCTGATGCCTCCTTCTCTTAAACCCCAGCGCAGAAAATCCCTGGGCATGAGTCCTGGGTGACAACTAGACCAAAAAGCTAAGTGAGGCTTTTCTCGCCTTCCTCCCCAGAATCTAATGGCTGGGCTGCTGAAGCCATAAGAGAACCATTTATCCAACCAGCCACCCGACACGGATGGCTGAGAGCCCCCTCCCCACTCCCTGCGGGTACAGACCAGAAGTAGGGCAGGATGAGGGACTGGGAAGAAGGGAAGGCAGGTGGGGTCTGGGCAAGAAAGAAGGAAGAGAGAATCACATGACTCGGTGGTGGGGAAGGGGAGGCCTTGAGGGCTTGGCAGTCTACGAGGGAGGGAGGAAGGAGGAAGTCTGCAGCTTTTGAGGCTTGGTCCTCCTGCCCACCAGAAAAACACAGCCATCTGTCCCGTTGATCCCGGGTTCTGGACACCGGCCGAGGAACACGCCTGTGCTCAGTCTGATGACAGATGTGCGCAAGCTTCCCCTGGGAGTCCCAGTGGGACGTGCAAGGTGCTGAGGTCTGAGGAAAATAACCAGATGGGAGAGCGGGAGCCCAGTGAGGAAGCAGAAGGAGCAATGGAGGACTTGCTCCCTGAGATCCCGGAAGACAAGGCCATGGGCAAGGGAAGTCTGGCCTCCAGAGCCCAGGCAAGACCCTCAATGAACACAACAAAGACACGATGCATCAGTCCATATTTACTGAAGCAGTCTCTAGAAGACAAGATTGGGAAAGCCACACGGATCTGCAATACACTGTCCCCCACCCCCCACCCCCAGGTGATGAGGACAGTGAGACTCAGAGAAGCGGTGTCTTTTGGTCCCATGCTGGTTGATATCCTCGACATATGGCAAGGTTCCTTGACCTGTTGCTGGCATCTGCTTTCTCTTTTCTACTCTCCCCCATCTCCACCGCCACTTTTTTTCAAATCAGCCACTGTTCCAACACCACCTTTAGAATTTCATAGGAGCTTCATTGGTCTCTCAGCGCACACTGACCCCAAAGAGCACCAGCAACTTGCCAAATGTTCCCCCCCGCCACACTTCTGCCATCACATTAACCCCTCCCTCACTAGGCTCAGCTACAGAAACGCCAAACTCCTCAACACCCATCCCCAAAACTTTATTTCCCCCTCTTTTCCTCTCTAATAAGGTACCTCTATGTCTTTCTTCCACACATATCCCTGCTCCCTGCCCTGCTCGGGGGTCATGGAGTCAGGCCCTCCATCACACTTTCATAGAACTTGGTGAACTTCTTCAACATTCTCTCCATTTCCCGGGCCTGCTGCCTCAGCTCTTCAGCTGACTCTGTCTTGGCCCCCTCTTGCAAGTGCCCTGACTCTTTCACAAGACTGAACACATCCATCGCAAGGAAGAGACCTGATAAGGCCCCACTCATGATCCGGGCTCCTTTGGTCATTGCCAGAGCAGTGCCTTTAAAAGCTTTCTGCACCTGCCTGGCACTTTGAGCTGAGACAGGCTTACCTCTCATGAGGTGAAGGGCATTGACTACTAGCTGAGGGTTAATTTTGGCTACCTTGCTGGCCCGAACCTTGTTTCCAAGGTCTTGCAGGTCTTTAAGGCATTTACATGCTAAGGCAGAAATTTGGGTTTGCTATAATTCAGAACCTTTGTAATTATGTCCTCTTCAATAAAGTCAGTTGATCTCAGGCGCCTGGCTTTGGCTTTAGCGGACAACTCGCTTGAGTATTCCACGATGCTGGTGGACACTTGGGCCACAGCAGATGCTGCTCCCAGCCCCGCTCCAACGGCTGAGAGTACCAGACTGGCCCCTGCTGTGAAAGGTGCCAGACCCAGACCAAGGATGGACAGGAGGCCAGATGTAGCGCCAGTGGTGCCGGCTACTATGTTGGAGATGGTGCAGTTCTTATGAACCCTGTCAACCTCATCTGCAAGCTCGTGGAGCTTTCTTATGTGCTCCTCCAACTTGGGTTTCCACTTGGGAAACTCACTCAAAAGCCTCTCCCTAGCCAGCTGGTCTTCGGCCTCTGTATACATGGCTCTTTCCAGCTTGTTCAGACCTTTACATAGGGCATCTGCCTCCTCCCTGTAACAGCGAAGGTCAAGTGATTAAGAAAAGCTTATCTGTAAAGTGGGCTTCATTCGATCTATCCCACATAAACCACAGAACGTTTACTATAAATCAAATGCGAAAGAATTTTACAAACGTAAAGAATTTTCCTTGAATGTAATCAACATGAGCAATGCTCCATAACACACAATCAGGAAATAAATAAGTCCATTTCATCTTATGATGCTTTTAAGTGCTGGGTATTTGATAAAGATGGCTTCCAAGTCAAGGACAGGTTCACACAGTCAGTACCACAGTGCCTGTAGATGGGGAACTCCATAGATGAACACATTACTGAATTGCTTTATGAGTTCTACTAATTTGGAGGTGGAGTCTTTTGGGTTTTCCACATAGAGTATCATGTCATCTGCAAAGAGAGAGAGTTTGACTTCTTCACAATAGCCAAACTGTGGAAGGAGCCGAGATGCCCTTCAACAGACAAATGGATAAAGAAGATGTGGTCCATATATACAATGGAATATTACTCAACCACCAGAAAAGATGAATACCCACCATTTGCATGGACATGGATGGAACTGGAGCGGATTATGCTACGTGAAATAAGTCAAGCAGAGAAAGACAATTATCCTATGGTTTCACTTATTTGTGGAACATAAGGAATAGCATGGAGGACATTAGGAGAAGGAAGGGAAAAACGAAGGGGGGGAATCAGTGGGGGAGACGAACCATGAGACTATGGACTCCAGGAAACAAACTGAGGGTTTCAGAGGGGAGGGGCGTGGGGGGATGGGTTAGCCCGGTGATGGGTATTAAGGAGGGCAGGTACTGAATGGAGCACTGGGTGTTATACGCAAACAATGAATCCTGGAACACTACATCAAATGCTAATGAAGTACTGTATGGTGACTAACATAACATAATAAAATAAATAAATAAATAAATAACATTACCAAAGCCAGAGGACAGGCATCAAAGGTGGGAGCAGCGGTCGGCAAAGAAAACATACGCTTTTCCTCTTCTGTGTAAAGAAACGTGTATAGAATATCTCTTGCTTTTCCTCTTCTGTGTAAAGAAACATGTATAGAATATCTCTTAAGTTCATAGAAGGGTCTATGATTATTACTAAATACAAAAGCTAAAGAAAAAGATACATTGTTTTGCATACAAACAATGTATGCAAAACAATGTATGCAGTTTCTGGGTCCTACCCTAATGCAGAGGCATTCAATAGATATGCTGAGCCAAAAATGAAAAAAAAAAATAAACAGTATATTAAGCTACTTAATTTTGGTTCAGAATTTCAGAGTATACTTTGGTAAAAACACAATAATTTTATTAAGAATCTTGTCCTTCATCTTTCACTAGCTATTTTGTAATAGGCATTAACGTTAGCCTTAAATTGATTGTACATTTTTAATTCAGGTTAGAATTTGTGTGTGTGTCTGTAAAAAGGTTTTGAATTCAAATTTAAATATTTTTATTGCCAGAAAGGTCAGTAAATTTACCTAATAAAAAAACCCTTCTATCACTGGCCTGCTTGGCTGGCTCAATCAGTAGAGCATGTCTCTTGATTTTGGGGTTGTTAGTTCAAACCCCATGTTGGGTGTACAGATTACTTAAAAAGAAAACCTTTAAATAATAATAATAATAATAATAATAATAAATCAAGAGAAAGAAATTAGCTATTGTGGTTGATGACTACCTGCTTTGCACCAGGCACCGTTCTAAGCACTTTGTATGCATTAACTCATGAATTAGTTCTCACCATGACTCTGTAAGAAAAGGAACTGAAGCTCAGAAAGGTTAAGTAATTTATCCAAAGCACCCAGCTAGTGCCAGAGCCAGAATTCAAATCCAATTCCCTGTCTCCAGAGCCTACACTTTCACTGACTATTCTGTCTCCCAGTGTAAGAATATCACTTAAAGATATTGATTAACCACCTAAAGAAAAAGCAACAAATTAAAAGTGATCGCTTTTAATTGGGAAAGTGGGTGAGCAGAGCCCTCGGTACTAATGATTTGTTTTAACCATATGCACTTATTACTTTGTGTTTTGTTTTTTTTTTTAATTTTAAGAAAGGAGAAGTCACATTATAGCAGTGAGTAACAGCTAACTGCAATAATGGGTTGGTTTCCGGCACTACCACTTGAAAGATGATGGGAGCAGTTGGATCAAGTGCCCATAAGAAATAAGCCTGACTCCTGATGTGACAATTGTCATCGTGGGAGAAATCTTGGTGGTTGATGAAAGTAAGTTGTCTAAGAAAAGTAGGATGATTTTAACAAGTAAAAAAGGTGTAATTTAAAAAGAAAAGTGGGATGATAACATAGGTTAAACTAGACTAATCAGAATGAACTCCACCCTTCCACAGATATATGTTCTAGCAATGCCTCGCCCACTCACATAGGCACCCATGGGTTTTTCTTCACTCAAAGGTAGCAAGACTCCTTGGAGGGAGACTGAATTCCACGGGCCTTCAATATCTCCTCTTCCAGAAGGAAAGGATGCTTCAGGCATGTTCAGAGCAGGGCTCAATAGGGCACCCACTGGTAATCCTACCAAATTACATAGAATAATAATGATAATTGATAAGGATTATTAAGATCATGTTTAATTGGGTCAGGCTGAGTCTGTGAAAGGCCGTGAGTTCCTAATAATTTTCAAAGGAGAAGAGCTGAGACAAAGTATATACAAAAGATAAAAAGTTGTAATGCAAAAAAGAGTTAGTGTAATGGGGATTGTTTGTTAATTAATCCTAATAAGGGGAGTCTTTTTTAATAAAGATTTTATTTATTTATTTGAGAGAGTTAAAAAGAGAGAGAGAGAGCATGAATGAGGGAGAAGGAGAGGGAAAAACAGGCTCCCCACTGAGCAGGGAGCCCAATGTGGGGCTCGATCCCAGGACCCCTGGAGCATGACCTGAGCCAAAGGCAGAGCCGCCCAGGCGCCCCAAGAAGGAGAGTCTTAATACATATGGGCATTTTTCCTTCTGTTTCTTTATATGACTGTTTATAAGGGAGAGAAAGAAAAAAGAAGAGGCCCAGACACTGGCAGGCCAGCCTGGCACTCACACCAGCTGGTGCTCTTCTCTGTTGGACATAAATAATGTCACTGAATACCACCCTCAGACAAGGTTACTCTGAGACCATGACAAAGGGAGCAGGGCAAGGCCACTTCATAGTTTTCCTCTAACCACAAAAGCAAGGTCTCTGCGCCACCCACAAAACACCAAACGCTCCGTCCCTTGGCCAGAAGAGAATGGCCATTATTTCTTTTTCTTTTCTTTTCAAGATTTTATTTATTTATTTGACAGAGAGAGAGAGAGCACAAGCCGGGGGAGGGCAGAGGCAGAGGGAGAAGCAGACTCCCCACTGAGCAGAGAGCCTGACACGGGGCTTGATCCCAGGACCCTGAGATCATGACCTGAGCCGAAGGCAGATGCTTAACCAACTGAGCCACCCAGGTGCCCATTTTTTCTTTCTTTTAACTTAAATTCGATTAATTGACATATAATGTATCATTATTCAGAGGTAGAGGTCAGTGATTCATCAGCCTTATATAACACCCAGTGCTCATTACATCAAGTGCCTCCTTAATGTCCATCACCCAGTTACCCCATCCCCTGCCCCCCAGAAACCCTCAGTTTGTTTCCTATGATTAAGAGAGTTTCTTATGGTTTGTCTCCCTCTCTGATTTTGTCTTGTTTTATTTTTCCCTCTCTTCCCCTATGATCCTCTGTTTTGTTTCTTAAATTCCACATATGAGTGAGATCATATGATAATTGCTACTATAAACATGGAGGTGCAGATGCCCCTTCGGATCACTTCATCTGTATCTTTGGGGTAAATCCCTAGTAGTGCAGTTGCTGGGTCGTAGGTTAGCTCTATTTTCAACCTTTTGAGGAACCTCCATACTGTTTTCTGGAGTGGTTGCACCAGCTTGCATTCCCACCAGCAGTGTAAGAGGGTCCCCCTTTCTCTGTTATCTTCACCAACATCTGTCCTTTCCTGACTTGTTCATTTTAGCCATCCATGTCCATCTGCTGATCTTTACTCTTAGCCTTGGTCTTAACAACACAATGGCTCTCATGACCTTTGCTACATTCCTGCCCACCAGTTCCCATGCAACTTCAACCTCCTCCAAGTCCACTTGCAGCACCCTCCCCCTGCGGCCTCTCATCTTAGGACCTGGATTCAGGAATATGTTTTCTGGGCGCCTTTGCAATGAGGGGTGACTGTACAACCCAGTCTTGGCCAACAAGACACAAGGGAAATCAGTTTAGGGGTCCCTTCCTGCTATAAGGCACAGTGGGGAGAGGAGAGTTGGCTGGCCCCTTTCTCTTTCTTCTGCTTGGAACGTCACATGACCCGGGGGACGGGCGAGGAGCCAAATGACACCCTGAAGCACACGGACCAAGAGCAAACGCAGAGAGCAGGACGAGTGAGCGGGCAGAAAGAGCCGGACCCTGGATGACACCAAACCTTTGCAAATGCGTCTGCACTCTCGGTCCCATCCTTCCTGTCCTCTGCTATTCTTGGCCCGGCCCTGACCCTCGTGTTGGACCTCAGCTGGGTTTTGATGCTGGACAATGCTCCCTCCTGCCTGATTAGGACCCAGGCTGTCCCTGGCTAGCCTGCAGATGGGTCAGCTCCCAGCAAGGCTGGCAGGAGGAGAAGGAGGGAAGAAGCCCGCCCCTGCCCACCTGCATGGCCCCCACAGGACACGGAGCCCTCCCATCCCCACCGGCTCTGTCTAAGCTCTCCAGAGGCAGCAGGGCACAGATTCTCACCAAAGCATCTCCCTGCAAGCACCTGCAGACATCCTCCTTGGGCAGGGGAAGGGGAGCCTAAGACAGGATCAGGCTCACACTCAGCATGGCGTCCACCCCGGGCTCCCTAACGCTCCCGCTCCTGTCTTCCTCGCTGCTCCCGCCCGGCCTCCATGTTGCCTTGGTCCAGTCATCCTCAAGCACCCCTCACTTCCCTGCTTCTTTTCTTTTTTCTTTTTTAATGTTTATTTTATAGGCTCCATGCCCGACGTGGAGCTTGAACACACTCAGGGCCCTGAGATCCAGAGTCAAAGGCTCTACCTACTAAGCCAGCCCAGCGCCCCTCCTTGCTTCTGATCACACCTCAGCCTCCAGCCCTTTGCTTGGCTGCTCCGTCCCCCTGGAATGCCTTTCCCCACCTTCCTCACCTTGTAAAAGTTTACCTGTGCTTAGAGGCCCAGCTCAACCGCTGCCTCCCCTGCAGCCTGCCCCCACTAACTCTCTGGGCTCCCCTTGAATGTGCACTGTCCTGACTGCAGTCCTCTGTGTGTTCTCCTCTGTTGGACTCTGAGCCCTGGCGGGGGCCTGTCTATTCCCTCCCACACCTCTTGTTCCAGGGCCTCCCAGGGTACCCGGGGTACCCGCTGCCCCTGCTCTCCAGCCCACAGCCGGGCTCAGATCCGAGGGCTGGCAGCACAGCACTCCCCAGCTTCACTCACCGATGAGCAATTCCACTTGTTTTCTTGTCTGTCTTGATGAAAAGCTCATGCTGGCCGAGAACAAATAAGACTATGCCTCAGATTTCACATGAATTACTCTCCTGATTTAATGTGCTTTGGACAATTCTATCAGATTTCTGGGAGTTTCCATGTATTTCCTCATGTCTCTGTACTCCAGCCATAATATTTTTTATATGAGGAGAAAGAGGAAGAGGAAATTGCAGGAAAACATGGTCCTGGTACCTGAGCCTTAGCAGGACTTTCCAAAGCCTCCCCTCCCCCAGGGTGGCCAGGCCAGGTGTGGATGTCAGGCCCAGCTCCCTCCACCCTCACCTCACTTTTTTTGCTAACTGCTGCCAGGAACTTTGGGGGAGAAGGGTGGGGGTCATTTCCTTAGTGCACTGCAGGCTTCTTTGAAGTCTTAAGAAAAGCCGGGTTTCTATGGATTGTAGCCAGCACCAGTTAGAGATGTCTTGAGAAGGAAGAGAGATAGAGGAGAAAGAAGAAGGAGGAGGAGGAGGGAAAGAGAAGGGGAAACAGAGGAGAAGCAGAAGCAGAAAAAGAAGAATAGGAGGAGGAAGGGGGGAGGAGGAGAAGGAAAAACCAAAAGGCTTGTACAAAATCAATCAATTAATCAATAACTCCCAACAGGACCTAAATGTAAGCTAGAAAGAAAAAGCCGCAAATATCCTGGAAAAAAAATTTTTTTAAATAGTAATTTTGAGTTGGAGAAATCTTTTAAGCAAGATGCAAATCCCAGAGGCCATAAAAGGAAAGTTCAGTTATCTGACCTCTTAAACATTAAAAATTGTAGCGGAGGGCGCCTGGGTGGCTCACTTGTAAAGCGGCTGCCTTCGGCTCAGGTCATGATTTGGGGTCCTGGGATCGAGTCCGGCACCGGGTCCTTGCTCAGCAGGGAGTCTGCTTCTCCCTCTCCCCCTGCTCCTCCTCTCTATCTCTCTCAAATAAATAAATAAACTCTTAAATAAGTACATAAAAATAAAAATTGTAAAGGACACCATGAACAGAGTCAGACTACAGCCAGAGGCCAGGAGGCAGCACCCTCCAAACTTAGAGCAGACAAAAGCTGAGTTACACAGAACACGACAAATCCTATGAATCAACATAAAAAGACTGAAAGCAAGTTCTTAAGATATGTGAACAAAGAATCCCCAGCATAGGGACTCACCCAGAGTCACGGTCCATGGTGGGCGCAGGCAGGGCCTAAGGGTAGACCAGGCTTTGTGACGCAAGTGTTTGGGGAGAAATGTGACTTTAACAATCCAAAGCCTTCTAGGTTTACTTCTGCTGGCGGAAACACACAGCTTTAAGCTCCCCTCCTCATCCTCCACCCCAGCAGTCTACAGTTTTGTGTTTTCAGATTCAAAGCCTGGACCATGCTACAGCGTGGCCCTTCTCACTTCTGGCCATTCTCTTCTTGCTGCAGGCACACAGGCCTGCCTCTGCACTTCCTGCCCTACAGTGGGTGGAACACAGGGCCCGGTGGGGGACAGGGAGCAAAGCCCAGACATCTCCCTGCTCTATCTCCCTGCTCTGTCTCCTGGTCACGGTCACGGTCATGGCACCCTGGGCCAGTCACTCCCTATCAGGCCCTCAGTCTCCCTGCAGGGCCTGGCACTGAGCAGACACTCAGAGACACTGTGGGCAACACAACCCTGAGTCCTTGTATCTCAAAAGACAACGTGAGCCTTTGCATCTCAACAGAAACCCTTTGCTGGTCAGCCTGGCAGCCTCACCCTGGGGTACCCAGAGGCTCTGACTCACCTGCCCTCCTCCCCTGCTCTGCATCCTCCCAATTCCCCAAAGGGATGAGCACACCAACATCAGCCTTCCTTCTGGGGTGGCCTGCTCAGGTCGCAGGCAGTCTGGAACCCGGGCTGGGCAGTGCTTCCATCCTTCTCCACTGTTTTGGGGCACAGGGAGAGGGGGGAAGCCCTGGGACCTGGGGCTGGAGCTTCAGGTTCCCTCTCATCTACAAAATCGAGACAACACAGGATCTTTCCTTAAAGAGCTGCATGGAGGGTGAGTAGATGGGCAGGGGCCCCTACCCTCCCAGCTTACCCAGGGATCTTCCTCTGACCGAGCTGAAGCACGTCCAGTGGTTCTTAGCTGTGAGGACCCGGTTATGAGTCTGTGCAGTCACCACACCTCGGGGCCCAAATACGTCTGGGACCTGAAAGGGAAACTGAAAGTAGCCTGTGATGAAACCACACACCTGGGCGGGGCTGGTCCAGTCGTCCTACCCACTCTCAGCTGTCCTGACTCCTCAAAGGACCTTCTAGGTCCTTCTCTGTTCTGCCCTTCCTGCCACTGATAGACTGTGGGACCCTCAGCAAATGACTCCCCGCCGCAGACCCCCGGTGGCTTGTTCCCAGCCCCCTCCTCTCTGTCCCTCCCACCTCACTCCCCCGCATGCCTGCCTTATTCAAGTTCCTGTCCCCAAACACACCAGGTGCTCACAGCTGACTTGCCATGTTGCAGCCGCTCAGTGCCACACCCACGTGGCTTCTAGGCATTTGCTGATGCAGATCCTTCTGCCAGGAGCACCTGCTCCTACCACCTGGAAAAATCATGCCCATACTTCAGAGCCCAAATCGAGCATCACCTCCTCTCAGAAGCCCCCCAGCACCCTCCCTGGCAGAGTCCCTGTGCCCTACTCTGCTCCCATGGCACCTGGGGGAGGGGCTGAAATCCCCTGCCGGGGACACCATGTCCCTGTCTTCCCCCACCCCTTTGGATCTAATCAGGTCTCTCTAGCCTTGTCCCGGATGTCGGGACAGCGCCAGGAGGCCCGCCCTTGGTGGCCAAGTGCTATTTGCAAGGATGTAGACGTTTGCGGGAGAGGGCTCCGGAAACACTGCTGTTTTCTACCCCACTCGTTTCTGCTTGACGACAGATCTTTCTCTCTAAAGGAGGACTTTTCTAGGAAGGCTAGCGTCAGGAAACAGCAAATGGAAACAGCCAGCGAGGCCTCCCGCCCGCGTGGGCCCCGAGCAGAGCAGCCGCCGTGGACAGAGCTGAGTGTGCGCCAGGCGCCGTGCGGGCCCCGTCCACGCAGCCCCGTCTGGCTCCCACAGCGGCCCTAGGAGATACCTGCCCCCTGCACAGATAGAGACGCTGCGGGGAAAGGGTCCCACGGCTCGTGAGATGTGCAGCAGCTGGACGGCTGTGGGCTTTGCCCCTGCGCACACGGAAGCCACCCTGACCCTTCCATCCGGGCAAATGTCCCCGGGGCATCGAGGCTCCTCCGCCAGCTTGTGAGGGAGGGACAGAGTGATGGAATGATGACATCAGAACCGCACCCATGGTTTGTGATGATCACCCTGTGGGTGGGCTGGGAGCTCGGGCTGAATTTGCAGATGGGGAAAGCCAGGTGAGGGGACAGGTGGTGGCTTTGGTCCAGCAACTCAGGGAAGGAGCCAAAACTCAAGGCCACGTTGACATTGTGCCCTCTGACACGTGGTTAAAGTACTATTGTGTCCACCTCTCCTTCTTTGGTTACTTCTTGGTCATTTTTTCTGTAGCCTCCCTTCCCCCTGATTCTTCTCCCTTTCCCTAGCACGCCCTTGGCGTGACACCCGATGAAACCACTGTGAGATGCAGAACGCGATGCAGCGTCCATAGGACCTGCGGCCCGATGGTCTAATGCCCATGCAGAATGGCCTCCGGACATCGACGGGCTCCAGGAACACAGCCCCGCGGTGGAGCAACCAGGATGGGGCTGCAGACACGTCAGGTGAGGATTAGGCATCTTTGGACTGCAGGGACAAGTGCCGAGTCCACCCCACTTGGGGACCCTAAAGATCTAGTGACTATAAACTACGGCTCCACTTGACCCCCAAGGATCCCAAGAAAAGTCACCCAGGATGACCACAGCTCCAGAGTCGGGGGTCTCGGCAAAATCTTTGGTCAATAAGCCATTTCAGCCCACTGGGAAGGCAACCCCACCTCAGTGGGAAAGTCACCCTCACATTGCTGAGGGAGGAGTCTGGCAGACGCCTCAGCATCATCAGGTGGAGGCTGGGAGAGTCAGCAGACGGGGACACACAACCAGCGCCCCCACCCAGTCTCTCCATTCCAGGGGGAACGTGGGCTTGGCTCACCTGCTAGACCTTATGACTTGTGTTTCAGAGCAGGGATCCCACCTCCTGGGTCTCCCTTTGTCTAGGGACAGTGGGGGGTGGCTGGGAACTGGACATAGGACAGTGGGGACTTCTGAAGTCATCAGAGTGCCTGGCGGAGACAGACATCTAAGGGGATTGCATCCACGCTGCCGGCGCCTGGTCACTCGTGGGACGTGGCTGGGAGCCACGGGTCGGGGTCACTTGCGACCAGGCTGCCACCATCACAGTGGACAACGCTATTTGTCTTTGCTCAGATCGGTGGTCAAATCCTTCCCCGAGTAGCAATTGTCAGCTTCAGGAAGGCTCAGAACTAAGTATGAAGATGACAGATCAAACCCATCATCTTCTCACACATTCCAACAATTCTAATTTCACTATTCCTGGCCTTCCCATCGCTTGTTCCTCCACGCCTCTCTTGATTCGTGTCCCCTGTGTCCTCTGTAGTCTAGTCCCCTCACTCTCTAGCCCCCTCCCTCCTTATTCCAGGTTCCATGTTCCTTCCTCTCTTTGCCCAACCCCGCCATCTGCATTAACCCCTCCCTCACTGGGCTCAGCTATAGAAATACCAAACTCCTCAACACCCGAATCCAAATTCTTTATTTTGCCCTCTTTTCCCCTCTAATAAGGTACCTCCATGTCTTTGTCCCACACATGTCCCTGCTCCCTGCCTGCTCAGGGGTCATGGATTCGGGCCCTCCTTCAGGCTTTCATAGATCTTGGTGAGCTTCTCCAACTTGTTCTCCAGCTCCCGGGCCTGCTGCCTCATCTCGTCAGCTGACTGGGCCTTTGCCCCCTTTTTCAAGTGCTCTGAGTCTTTCACAAGGTTGGCCACATCCATTGCAAGGAAGAGACCTGCGGTGGCTGCACCCATGATCCGGGCTCCTTTGGTCATTGCCAGAGCAGTGCCTCCAAAAGCTTTCTGCACCTGCCTGCCACTTCGAACTGAGACTCTCTGAGCTGTCATGAAGCGCCTGGCATTGACTACCAGGTGAGGTTTGACTTTGGCTAGCTTGATGGCACGAACATTCTTTGCAATGTTTTGCAGGGCTTGGACGCTTTTACCTGCTACGGAACCAATTTGGGGTATGGTATCACACAGAACCTTGGCAACTACCTTCCCTTTGTCAAAATCAGTTGATGTCAGGTGACTGGCTTGGGCTTTGGCGGATGATTCGTTGGAGTATTCCACGATGCTGGTGGACACTTGGGCCACAGCAGATGCTGCTCCCAGCCCCGCTCCAACGGCTGAGAGTACCAGACTGGTCCCTGCTGTGAAAGGTGCCAGACCCAGACCAAGGATGGACAGGAGGCCAGATGTAGCACCAGTGGTGCCGGCTACTATGTTGGAGATGGTGCAGTTCTTATGAACCCTGTCAACCTCATCAGCAAGCTCGTGGAGCTTTCTTATGCGCTCCTCAAGCTCCACTTTCAACTTGGGAAACTCACTCAAAAGCCTCTCCCTAAACAGCTGGTCTTCGGCCTCCGTATACATGGCTCTTTCCAGCTCCTTCAGATCTTCACGTAGGACATCTGCCTCTTCCCTGTAACAGTGAAGGTCAAGTGATTAAGAAAAGCTTATCTGGGGCACCTGGGTGGCTCAGTTGGTTAAGCGACTGCCTTCGGCTCAGGTCATGATCCTGGAGTCCCGGGATCGAGTCCCGCACAGGGCTCCCTGCTCGGCGGGGAGCCTGCTTCTCCCTCTGACCCTCCCCCATCTCGTGCTCTCTCTCTCTGTCTCATTCTCTCTCTCAAATAAATAAATAAAATCTTTAAAAAAAAAAAAAGCAAAGCTTATCTGTAAAGTGGGCTTCATTCGATCTATCCCACATAAACCACAGAACGTTTACTACAAATCAAAGGGAAAAGAATTTTACAAATGTAAAGAATTTTTCTTGCAATGTTAAACACATTCTGTACATTGCTAATGTTCCATACACACAGTCAGGGAATAAATAAGTCCATTTCATCTTAAGATGCACTTAAATGGTGGGTATCTGATAAAGATGGCTTCCCAGGTCAACACAGTCAGTACCACAGTGTGTGTAGACTGGGAACTCAGTAGATGAACAAAGGGAAGTGGGGTTGGAGCAGAAAAACCTTCATTCGGGGAATCTTCCTGTGTACTGAAGGATGAACCTTACCCACAGAGAGGTCTGCCCTTTGCCCTTGACTGGGAAGTGATCTCTAGGTCTCCACCTAGGATGTCAAGGGTCCTAGAACAATAGGACTGTCTTCCTTTGCCTGGGCCTTTGGCCACTCACTGGACAACCTGACAAGACGAGGGGGGCTTTGGGTCATGTGCTGTCAGTTCTGACCTACAAAGGAACTAGAAACTAACCTCCAGGGGAGCTGAAGACGACAAGTCAGCCATGCAGGGAGGAGGTGACTGAGCCCCAATAAAATTCTGTACTCTGAGGACAGGGTTGAAAAAGACTCTCTCCTTGACCAAACGTTATTCGGGCTCTCTGACACTCCTCTTGACTAGGCCTTGACCTTGGTCTTCTGTGCTCTGTCCTTGGCAGCCTGTCATGCCCAGTCTTAGCAAGAACCCTGTTAGGTCAGCTTAGTGAGAATCCACGCACTCTTGATATCTAATCACCTTTGACATCTGATCAAATCCCACCTTTGATGCAGAAGTCCTTGCCTGCCTTCAGGAAGAACACTATTGGGTCAGGTTAGCAAGAATCCCCCACCTTGATGTCTCCTCTTAGAGATTTCCCATGCCCTGCCCCCATCCTGCTCCTTGGCTATAAATCCTTAGCTGTCTTCGCTGTATTCCGAGGTGAGCCCGATCTCTCTCCCCGATGACATCACTCTCGACGCCTAGGGCAGGAATTAAGTCTTCTTTACCCTATTAGTAAGTGTCACAATAATTGTTTACTTTCACAGTGTGAACTTCCCTGGTAGGCAATGCTCCACGTGCACTGTCACACGCTGAACACAGGACAGTAAGGCCTCCCAAGGACAACCAAGCTTTGCACTGGAAACCCTCCCAGACTCTGCCCCAAGTGTCTCTCTCTTTGGCTGATGGGAACCTGTATCCTTCCCTGTATCACAGGGTGACTGAGAGTGACAGCTCTGAGTGAGCTCTCTGAGTGCTTCCAGGGCATCATCCAATCTCAGGGTAGTTTGGGGACCGCCCCCCCAATTTGCAGTGGGTGCCAAAAGTAAGGGCAGTCTTAGGGATTGTGCTCTCAGACTTTGCAGTTTGGTTAACTCTGGGTACTTGGAATTTAAGAAAACAAAACCTCAGAGCGAGAAGGGACCTTAATGATCATTTTGCTTGGGACCTGCTCTCTCTCCCAAGCCTCCTGTCCTCTGCTGGGGACCAGGCCCTGCCCCAACTGACTGAGAAGCAGGACACCCACTACCCTCGTTCCCCTCAGACTCTCCAGCTCACGAAACTGACTCCCGAGCCACCGCCCAGCACCCCCGACCTCACAGGTGTCACCATCTTAACTCACACCTTAGCGGGTACACCAAGGCCATGTGCAGCTTTATGACATCTCTTAAAGATGCAAGAGACTTTGACAACCTTCTATATGAATCACCAAGCCGGAAAAGACCTGCATTTGGGCAAGCTGGAGCAAGAAGTACTTTCCTCTTTGGTGGGGACTTCTGAGGCTCAGAATCCCCCAAAGAGTACAGAATTGGCAGCTGCCCCCAGTGGAGCTGGAAGTTGTCACAAAGCCACACTGCCTCCTACTGGTCTGGGGCTGCTCTAGGTAGAAGAGAAGAGGCTTCCAAATGGTAGTCACGACCCCCCCAGCTCCAAGGCAAGGTATGGAAGAAACACCCCCCATGGACCCTGATGCCCAGCAGTGAGGAAATCAAAGAAGGGAGGGAAGAAATGTGCCCTCTCCCTCTCACAGGACCTCTGCTAGGTCCCTGGTCTCCTCAAGTTTTGTGCTCTAGAGCTTCACTCAGTTCCAGCCCTGCTGTCCAAGCCTACCTAGTCCTCCAACCTAGACCCCACACCCCTTTGTCCATCCTGATCACCAGCTCTGGCCCTGGTCCAAGCCTCCTGGGCCTTTGGACAGGATGACTGCACTTGGTTCCTCACCTTTGACCTCACAATTCACACAAAGTCCTTCGCCACAATCTTATCAGATTGGATTACTGTGTCCATTGAACAAATGACAGATCTGAGACTCCAAGACATACAGAGCCAGAGAGCCCCAAGGCTGGACAGAGATAGAGTCAGGATCCAACCCAGCTCGGTCCAATTCCACTCTAGCGTCTCCACCTCATGGGTCAGCAGGATCCTGCATGTTCATATAACTCCTTAGGGAAGACTCTAGTCCGAATCCCCAGGGGCACAGACTGAGGTGTCAGTGTTCTTCCGACTTGTCCCAGAAGTCCTGCTTGGCCCTCATCTCTAGGAAGAAGACCCTTAGCCCCTGTCTCTTCTCGGCAATCTTCTAAAAAGTTAAAATTAATTGAGACCCTACTACGTGTCCGTCACTATGCGAAGCCCTTTACATGCATTATCTTCATTTCCTCATGACAAAATTGAACAGACGAAGAGACAAAGGCAGAGACAGGTCTGCTTTAGGTAAAGGACCAAGGTCACTCTACAGGTTTCACCTTGTCTCAATCCGAGGCCATTCACTGCGGTGAATGTAATGGAAGACATATTCCTCATGGATTGTTGAGAAGGAACGTACTCAACCCCAACCCCAAGATACTGTCCCACAGACACCAGGGTGACCATCCCGGGGCAACCCCGGGGGGTTACCTGGACAACATGGCCTGAGCCACAAATCTCTCCCAGGCTTCATGGTCAGTCAGCAGGAAGTGCAGTTCCTCGAAGCTCACTGTGCTCTGAAAAGACTCAATGACATCCTCAAGAAGGATTTTGCTCTCTAGATGGAAAGGAAAAAATGAAAAGTTGTTTACTTTTTTCTTTTTCCTGCTCCACTAAGGGAGAGGGAAACCAGGGCTTAGCTGGAGGGAACCTACAGGGCTAAATATGTGTCTTTATTGATTGGGGGGTGGGGTGGCGGGGAATAGCTGAGAGCCGGCCTAGGCAGGGTTATTGAGATCAATAGAATCAGTTCCTGCCCCGCTTTCGTATCTCATAAGCAGGTGCTTATAGTCGGGACACAGGACAAGTGCCCTAATATAGCCGTGGGGGGCCAGGGGATGCTGGGGGAGGGGAGGTTTCTATCTGGAACTAACAGGTTCCAGGTAGAGGGGACAGCAACAATACTTAGGGAGGACATACTGTGTAGCAGGTCCTGGCCAAAACCTCATAAACACATTATATTTGATCTTCATAACCACATAGGGAAATATTCTCATTTTACAGGTAAGCTTAGGTAAGGCACTCCAGGTCACACAGGTGGGAGGTGGCAAAGACCAGACTGGGGTCCAGGTCAGTGGCCCACTGACCATCACAGAGCAGTCAGGCTGGCAGCAGGGTGAGAACTGGAGGGAGCGGCCTCTGCCGTGAAGCCCCACAGTCATCCTTAGCCATGCTGGAGGCTTGGACAGGGCAAGAGGGCAGAAGAAGCCTCCAAGCTTGCTGGTCTACCTCCTCCCCCTGCCCTACCTCAGGACCCCTTTCTTCCCTCCTTTCCCCTCTGCTGTCCCCCACCTCCCAGCGGGCTCTCCTGGCCTCACTTCTGGGTCATTTGATGGATTTGATGGGCGGCAGGGGGAGGGCGGAAGTGAGCATCTCAGCCATGGCCCTGAGAAGACAGGAGGGAGGTGTCCCCACAGACCCCTGGCCTGCGGACTCCCTTTGACTCCCGCTTAGGGACTCAAGGAAGCTCTTCAAGGGACTGATTCCTCTTAGGGTAACGCAGCTGGAGGCATCCCCACAATTCCAGGAATCATCCAGAGAAGTGGAAGTTGACTACCTGGGCAGAGCTCACTGGCTTCTGAGGACATGGTGCCAGCAGTGGGATCTGAGAGTTTTCGCAACAGCTCGAGTCTGCGTCCCCGCTAGAAGGAGGTGTTGCTTCACCCCTGGGGAGGAGAGAACAAATTGTGGGGTCAAATGTGAGCCAGCTGTGGCAGCAGGAAGCAGCGAGGGGCCAGGTCTCTGGTGCTTCCCTCCGGGATGGCTACCAATGCCAAAGCAGACTTTACCTGATGTGTTTGTCCTCTACTGACTTCTGCCAGCCGCTATTTAAGGAAAGTTACTCACCTCACTCCAGCTCGCTCCCAAGCCAAGTCGGGGTCCTGTCGTCCTGCTGGGCCACAAGAAGAAGATAATCAGTCAAGGAGACTGCCATCTGAGAAGTTATAGAAGCAATAAAACCAAACACAGAAGAAAACATGGGAAGAAGTGTTCTGGAAATTTTGGAGGTCAGAAACATGTGTGTTTGCTAATTGATAAGAGCTAATATTGATCAAGTATCTATGACGGGCAGGACTCCTATGTGTTCCCTCACTGAATATCCACACACACTCCATGAGGTCGGTGCTCTTGTGGCTCCCACGTTAAGGTGGAGGAAACCATCACCTGAAGTTAGTTTAGCCCAAGTTTTCACAATAGTGCTAGAGCCAGGACGTGAACCCGAGTGTCTCTGATCCAAAGCCCATGTTTGTGATGACTCTGCTCTACTCCCTTTAACATACATAAACATTTATTCATGTACAGTTAACCTTTGAACAACACACGGGTTAGGGGCGATGACCCCATCCCCGTGCACTCAAAAATTCATGCATAGCTTCTGACTTCCCCAAAACTTAACTACTAATAGCCTACTCTTGACCAGAAGCTTTACCAATAATATAAACAGCTGATCAACACATAGTTTGTATGTTATATGTATTATGTACTGTATTCTTGCAACAGAGTAAGCTAGGGAAAAGAAAACGTTGTTAAGAAAATCATAAGGAAGGGGCGCCTGGGCGGCTCAGTCGTTTAAGCGTCTGCCTTCAGCTCAGGTCATAAATCCAGGATCCTGGGATGGAGCCCCTACAACTGGCTCCCTCCTTAGTGGGGAGTCTGCTTCTCCCTCTCCCTGTGCCCCTCCCCCCACATGTATGTTCTCTCTCTTTGTCAGATAAATAAATTAAATTAAAAAAAAAAAAAGAAAGCCATAAGGAAGAGAAAGTACATTTATAGTACTGCACATATATTTAATGAAAAAATCTGCATAAAAGTAGAACTCTGTTGATCAAACCTGTGTTGTTCAAGGGTCAACTGTATAGGTGTTTATTTGTAAATGACTCTTCTCGTTCCTCAATGATGTCTTGCATCGTGAACCAGGCTTTGTCTGGATCAATATCCTGGTGCCACAGCTTCCCAAAGCCTGTGTCCTCCTTGCTTCTGCAAGATTCTTCATCCCACAGGGCCTGGAGTCCTGCTAGGTCCTGCACAATCCCTACAGCCCTACTATGTATTGTCAAGCCTTCCTGATAATGCCCAGTCCTCTCTGCTGTCCTCCCCCAACTTTGCACCTTAGACGGCTTCTAATTCTTTATCTAAATGCTAGTGCAAAGAACAATCTCCTTGTATAAAACTTTGCATTTTGCATTTGAGATTGTTTCCTTAAGACATATAAAACTTTGCATTTGAGATTGTTTCCTTAAGACATTTCTACAAGCAGGATGACTGGGTCAGAAGGTATCAACACGCACAAAGTTTTTCATACCTAGAGCCACACTGTTACGAAAAAAATCATACCAATTCACATTCACACTCACAGTAGATGAGGGTGTCCACCATTCCATTCTTACCAGTTCCTCATAGACTTTTTAAAAAACAGACCCTTATAGAGAGAGAATTTATTTTAGTTCTGTTATTCTCTTACCTTGGGAGATGAGGAAAGACAGCAAATGTTGACTCCGTTTAAGCATTATTTCTTTTAAAGATTTTATTTATTTATTATTTGAGAGAGAGAGGGAGATTGAGAGAACGAGTGGGAGGAGGGGCAGAGGGAGAAGCAGGCTCCCCGTGGAGCAATGAGCCTGACGCAAAACTCGGTTCCAGGACCCCGTGATCATGACCTGAGCCGAAGGCAGACGCTTAACCAACTGAGCCACCCACGTGCCCTAAGCATTATTTTTTTTTAAGTTTATTTATTTTTCTTAGTAATCTCTACACCCAATTTGGGACTCGAACTCACAACCCCAAGGTCAACAGTCCCATACTTTTCAGAATAAGCCAGCCAGGTGCCCCTAGGCACTATTTGAAGAAGGCAAAAGAGCATTTATCAACTACCCCTCCTGAGACCTGACTGAAATGATAGTAAAGGTCCTTAGAGGTATAAAAATAACTAATGATGAGAGTGACTCACATTTGTGCCCTTTGCTCTGCACTGGTAATTAATTGCTCTAAGACTTTACAAATAATAACCTGTCTTCTTCAATAATCATTGAGTAGTGTGTGTGTCATTTGCATCCCTGTTTACGGATAAGGAAACTAAAGCACAGACTAGGTGACTTGCCCAGAGTCAGAAATCTAGTAAGTGGTATACTGGGTTCAAGTGCTCAAGGTCCTGCCTGCTGGACTCAAGAACCCACACACTGCCTCTCCTCCTTCTGCTACCAATTTGAAAGGAGAACGGGGCCAACGGGAGTCCAGAGGCTTAGACAAATGTTTGAATGCAGATTGGATGCAGAACTGATAGCTGAATAAAGAAGAGGAGAGGGAGCTGCCATCGGAAAAACAAAGAGAGAACAAGGCAATAGGCAAGAAGAATGGTTGGCTAGGCAGACCTTTGGAGAACACTGAGGATGAGAGGGAGGTGGAGGGGAAGCAGGAAGAAGGTTACCAACCCCACACCCAATCCTATATTCACAGCAGCCTAAGTCTACACCAGAAGGGGAAAAATCAGAAATGAAATACTCCAGAAAAAATACCTCTGTCTTCTGACATCTAGGGGATCCTCATCCAATCACTCTACAGGGAAGCCTGTCAGTCAACTTACCTCTCTGTAACTATGAATGGGCAATCTAGGATCAGATATATAAGAAAGATGACCAGATGGAATGGGTGGCTAAGATAAATAAAAAATGACTCCAGAAGGGGCACCTGGCTGGCTCAGTTAGTAGAGCACGCAACTCTTGATCTCAAGAGTTCATGCCCCACATTGGGCATAGAGCTTACTTTAAAACAATAATAACAAAAATAACTGGACTTAATAAACCTTCAAAACAATGAAACCAGAAGAAACACATAATTTTGACTATAAGAATAATTTTTTAAACCTTGAACCAATGTCCTCAGGGAGGTTAGAAAGCTGTTTTCTTCATAAAATGAGAACGGGATGCACCGAAAAGGGAAAAAAGTAATGGGACAAAAAAGAGATCTTGGGAATTAAAAAGAAGTCTCAGGAAAGTTTGGAAAAGTCAAGGAAAACTTCCAGAAAATAAAACAAAAAGGTGACAGAAGAAATGAAACTAAATGAGGAATGACAAGTTACCAAGGCTATCAATTCTTAGAAAATTACTTTAGAAAGAGCTGCAGAAAAGAAAAAAAAAGCAGTTTGTGTGTTTATGGGGTGAGGTGGAGGATAATAACCAAGAAACCAAGAGACAGAAAGATATGAGGTCTAGGAAACAGGAAAATTAACATAGACAGAAAGGAATCCAAGGAATACAGCTGGGCATACGGAAGGCCGAGAGAGAGCAACCAGCCCAGAATGGAATAAGAAGTGAAGAGTTCTATGGGCAAAGGGGACTTGATATAATACTTATATAATGCACAGTTCAAATGAAATTGAGGAAATGTTGAAGGCAACCTTGCAAGGGGTAAAAACATAGGCAATTAGAAAATCAGGAAAAACTAAAGCTGTACAAGAAAACATGTGCAACTGTATTTCACAAGTTAGCTCTACAGTAAAGAATACTGAAAACATCACACATATGTAAACATTCTTGCGTCATTTTGCACTTCTAGAATGAAAGAGACCATTTAAATATGAGAATTAAATGCACTTGTTGCCATAGTAAATTCAAGTACAATGATAGAAGTTGGAGGTGAAGCATTGAAGAGAGGAGGAGGATTAACATCCTTATTTTACCAAGCGGGGAGTCCAAAAATACTGGCTGCAATTGAGAGGCTAAGAAAGGAAGATGGAAGAAAAAAAGAAAAAAGAAACAAAGGTGTAAGTAAATTGCTTACGACTAGAAAGGTTTCCAATCAAGGACATAAAATCAGTGCTAGAATGGTATTAGGAGAAACTGGGGAGGTGTGTAAGAAAAAGTATACAAATAAGTGAAATCATTATCTGTCCCGGTAAGAAATAAAGAGCTCATAAAACAATTTAAAAATTGAGGGACTGAAACTAACTATTGCGGTTGTTGACTACCTGCTTTGTCCCAGGCACCATTCTAAGCACTTTGTATGCATTAACTCATGAATTAGTTCTCACCATGACTCTGTAAGAAAAGAAACTGAAGCTCAGAAAGGTTAAGTAATTTACCCAAAGCACCCAGCTAGTGCCAGAGCCAGAATTCAAATCCAGACTCCCTGTCTCCAGAGCCTACACTTTCACCTGTTCTGTCTCTCAGTGTAAGAGTATCATCTAAAGATATTGATTAACCACCTAAAGAAAAAGCAACAAATTAAAAGTGATTGCTTTTAATTGGGAAAGTGGGTGAGCAGAGCCCTCGGTACTAATGATTTGTTTTAACCATATGCACTTATTACTTTGGGTTTTTTTTAATTTTAAGAAAGGAGAAGTCACATTATAGCAGTGAGTAACAGCTAACCGCAATAATGGGTTGGTTTCCGGCACTACCACTTGAAAGATGATGGGAGCAGTTGATCATAAGAAACAAGCCTCACTCCTGATGTGAGTTGTCAGTGTGGGAGAAATCTTGGTGGTTGATGAAAGTAAGCTGTCTAAGAAAAGTGGGATGATAACATAGGTTAAACTAGGCTAATCAGAGTGAACTCCACCCTTCCACAGATATATGTTCTAGCAATGCCTCGCCCACTCACATAGGCACCCATGGGTTTTTCTCCACTCAAAGGTAGCAAGACTCCTGGGAGGGAGACTGAATTCCACGGGCCTTCAATATCCCCTCCTCCAGAAGAAAAGGATGCTTCGGGCATGTTCAGAGCAGGGCTCAATAGGGCACTCACTGGTAATCCTACCAAATTACATAGAATAATAATGGTAATTGATAAGGATTATTAGGATCATGTTTAATTGGGTCAAGCTGAGTCTGTGAAAGGCCATGAGTTCCTAATAATGTCCAAAGGAGAAGAGCTGAGACAAAGTATATAAAAAAGGGAGATATAAAGGTGTAAAGTTGTAAATCAAAAAGGAGTTAGTATAATGGGAATCGTTTAATTGTTAATTAATCCTAATAAGAAGGGGAGTCTTTTTTTAAATAAAGATTTTATATATTTATTTGAGAGAGAGAGAAAGCGAGAGAGCATGAACATGGGGTGGGTGGTTGGAGAGTGGCAGGCAGAGGGAGAGGGAGAAGCAGAGTTCCCACTGAGCAGGGAGTGCCACACAGCCAAATGACACCCTGAAGCACACGGACCAAGAGCAAACGCAGAGAGCAGGACGAGTGAGCGGGCAGAAAGAGCCGGACCCTGGATGACACCAAACCTTTGCAAATGCGTCTGCACTCTCGGTCCCATCCTTCCTGTCCTCTGCTATTCTTGGCCCGGCCCTGACCCTCGTGTTGGACCTCAGCTGGGTTTTGATGCTGGACAATGCTCCCTCCTGCCTGATTAGGACCCAGGCTGTCCCTGGCTAGCCTGCAGATGGGTCAGCTCCCAGCAAGGCTGGCAGGAGGAGAAGGAGGGAAGAAGCCCGCCCCTGCCCACCTGCATGGCCCCCACAGGACACGGAGCCCTCCCATCCCCACCGGCTCTGTCTAAGCTCTCCAGAGGCAGCAGGGCACAGATTCTCACCAAAGCATCTCCCTGCAAGCACCTGCAGACATCCTCCTTGGGCAGGGGAAGGGGAGCCTAAGACAGGATCAGGCTCACACTCAGCATGGCGTCCACCCCGGGCTCCCTAACGCTCCCGCTCCTGTCTTCCTCGCTGCTCCCGCCCGGCCTCCATGTTGCCTTGGTCCAGTCATCCTCAAGCACCCCTCACTTCCCTGCTTCTTTTCTTTTTTCTTTTTTAATGTTTATTTTATAGGCTCCATGCCCGACGTGGAGCTTGAACACACTCAGGGCCCTGAGATCCAGAGTCAAAGGCTCTACCTACTAAGCCAGCCCAGCGCCCCTCCTTGCTTCTGATCACACCTCAGCCTCCAGCCCTTTGCTTGGCTGCTCCGTCCCCCTGGAATGCCTTTCCCCACCTTCCTCACCTTGTAAAAGTTTACCTGTGCTTAGAGGCCCAGCTCAACCGCTGCCTCCCCTGCAGCCTGCCCCCACTGACTCTCTGGGCTCCCCTTGAATGTGCACTGTCCTGACTGCAGTCCTGGGTGTTCTCCTCTGTTGGACTCTGAGCCCTGGCGGGGGCCTGTCTATTCCCTCCCGCACCTCCTGTTCCAGGGCCTCCCGGGGCACCCGCTGCCCCTGCTCTCCAGCCCACAGCCGGGCTCAGATCCGAGGGCTGGCAGCACAGCACTCCCCAGCTTCACTCACCGATGAGCAATTCCACTTGTTTTCCTGTCTGTCTTGATGAAAAGATCGTGCTGGCCAAGAACAAATAAGACTACGCCTCGGGTTTCACCTGAATGACCCTCCTGATTTACTGTGCTTTAGACAATTCTATCAGATTTCTGGGAGTTTCCGTGAGCACCCCGACATCCACCTTCCTTGTGGATTACCTGCTCAGGTCGCAGACAGTCTGGAACCTGGGCTGAGCAGTGTCCCCCTCCTCCCCACTGTTTTGGGGCACAGGGGGAGGCGGAAGCCGTCCGACAAACCCGGGTTCAAATCCGGGCTGTACCCCTCTTAGCCTGGGACCTGGGGCTGGAGCTTCAGGTTCCCTCTCATCTACAAAATCGAGACAACACAGGATCTTTCCTTAAAGAGCTGCATGGAGGGTGAGTAGATGGGCAGGGGCCCCTACCCTCCCAGCTTACCCAGGGATCTTCCTCTGACCGAGCTGAAGCACGTCCAGTGGTTCTTAGCTGTGAGGACCCGGTTATGAGTCTGTGCAGTCACCACACCTCGGGGCCCAAATACGTCTGGGACCTGAAAGGGAAACTGAAAGTAGCCTGTGATGAAACCACACACCTGGGCGGGGCCGGTCCAGTCGTCCTACCCACTCTCAGCTGTCCTGACTCCTCAAAGGACCTTCTAGGTCCTTCTCTGTTCTGCCCTTCCTGCCACTGATAGACTGTGGGACCCTCAGCAAATGACTCCCCGCCGCAGACCCCCGGTGGCTTGTTCCCAGCCCCCTCCTCTCTGTCCCTCCCACCTCACTCCCCCGCATGCCTGCCTTATTCAAGTTCCTGTCCCCAAACACACCAGGTGCTCACAGCTGACTTGCCATGTTGCAGCCACTCAGTGCCACACCCACGTGGCTTCTAGGCATTTGCTGATGCAGATCCTTCTGCCAGGAGCACCTGCTCCTACCACCTGGAAAAATCATGCCCATACTTCAGAGCCCAAATCGAGCATCACCTCCTCTCAGAAGCCCCCCAGCACCCTCCCTGGCAGAGTCCCTGTGCCCTACTCTGCTCCCATGGCACCTGGGGGAGGGGCTGAAATCCCCTGCCGGGGACACCATGTCCCTGTCTTCCCCCACCCCTTTGGATCTAATCAGGTCTCTCTAGCCTTGTCCCGGATGTCGGGACAGCGCCAGGAGGCCCGCCCTTGGTGGCCAAGTGCTATTTGCAAGGATGTAGACGTTTGCGGGAGAGGGCTCCGGAAACACTGCTGTTTTCTACCCCACTCGTTTCTGCTTGACGACAGATCTTTCTCTCTAAAGGAGGACTTTTCTAGGAAGGCTAGCGTCAGGAAACAGCAAATGGAAACAGCCAGCGAGGCCTCCCGCCCGCGTGGGCCCCGAGCAGAGCAGCCGCCGTGGACAGAGCTGAGTGTGCGCCAGGCGCCGTGCGGGCCCCGTCCACGCAGCCCCGTCTGGCTCCCACAGCGGCCCTAGGAGATACCTGCCCCCTGCACAGATAGAGACGCTGCGGGGAAAGGGTCCCACGGCTCGTGAGATGTGCAGCAGCTGGACGGCTGTGGGCTTTGCCCCTGCGCACACGGAAGCCACCCTGACCCTTCCATCCGGGCAAATGTCCCCGGGGCATCGAGGCTCCTCCGCCAGCTTGTGAGGGAGGGACAGAGTGATGGAATGATGACATCAGAACCGCACCCATGGTTTGTGATGATCACCCTGTGGGTGGGCTGGGAGCTCGGGCTGAATTTGCTGATGGGGAAAGCCAGGTGAGGGGACAGGTGGTGGCTTTGGTCCAGCAACTCAGGGAAGGAGCCAAAACTCAAGGCCACGTTGACATTGTGCCCTCTGACACGTGGTTAAAGTACTATTGTGTCCACCTCTCCTTCTTTGGTTACTTCTTGGTCATTTTTTCTGTAGCCTCCCTTCCCCCTGATTCTTCTCCCTTTCCCTAGCACGCCCTTGGCGTGACACCCGATGAAACCACTGTGAGATGCAGAACGCGATGCAGCGTCCATAGGACCTGCGGCCCGATGGTCTAATGCCCATGCAGAATGGCCTCCGGACATCGACGGGCTCCAGGAACACAGCCCCGCGGTGGAGCAACCAGGATGGGGCTGCAGACACGTCAGGTGAGGATTAGGCATCTTTGGACTGCAGGGACAAGTGCCGAGTCCACCCCACTTGGGGACCCTAAAGATCTAGTGACTATAAAATACGGCTCCACTTGACCCCCAAGGATCCCAAGAAAAGTCACCCAGGATGACCACAGCTCCAGAGTCGGGGGTCTGGGCAAAATCTTTGGTCAATAAGCCATTTCAGCCCACTGGGAAGGCAACCCCACCTCAGTGGGAAAGTCACCCTCACATTGCTGAGGGAGGAGTCTGGCAGACGCCTCAGCATCATCAGGTGGAGGCTGGGAGAGTCAGCAGACGGGGACACACAACCAGCGCCCCCACCCAGTCTCTCCATTCCAGGGGGACCTTATAACTTGTGTTTCAGAGCAGGGACCCCACCTCCTGGGTCTCCCTTTGTCTAGGGACAGTGGGGGGTGGCTGGGAACTGGACATAGGACAGTGGGGACTTCTGAAGTCATCAGAGTGCCTGGCGGAGACAGACATCTAAGGGGATTGCATCCACGCTGTCGGCGCCTGGTCACTCGTGGGACGTGGCTGGGAGCCACGGGTCGGGGTCACTTGCGACCAGGCTGCCAGCATCACAGTGGACAACGCTATTTGTCTTTGCCCAGATCGGTGGTCAAATCCTTCCCCGAGTAGCAATTGTCAGCTTCAGGAAGGCTCAGAACTAAGTATAAAGATATCAAGATCAAACCCATCATCTTCATTTTTTTATATTGAAGCCAAGGCAGATATATGTTTAATTTTAATGTATGTATGAGGTTTAAGAGAATTGGACATATTCTTAGAGTGAACAAAGTGGCTTTTGGTTTCCAGGTTTTTTTGTGTTTTTTTTAAGATTTTATTTATTTATTTGACAGAGAGAGACACAGCGAGAGCGAGAACACAGCAGGGGGAATGGGAGAGGGAGAAGCAGGCTTCCCGCAGAGCAGGGAGCCCGATGCGGGGCTCGATCCCAGGACCCTGAGATCATGACCTGAGCCGAAGGCAGACGCTTAACTAACTGAGCCACCCAGGCGGTCCTTGGGTTCCAGTTTAAAACAGGTAATGGAATAATTGATTTACATGAACGATTTCAAGTTGAAAGGCAGTCTGCTAAGTACTAAGGATGTTGCAAATAAGCTTCAGCCCAGAGGAAACAGCTTCCAGTTCAGCAGATCCCAAAACAGGGCGGGTAAGGAGTGGCGGGCGTCAGGGGATGGAGCTGGGAGAGCCACTCCACCAGACAGCTCTGAGGCATGTGCCGGGGGCACCATCAACCTCCGCTCCCAGCAGTCAGGAGATCAGAGAGATTCTTGTCTGGAGTTCCTCCTGTGCTAAAGTATGGCCTGAAAAATAATTGCATCTAGTTGCTGTGGAAAACAGCATGGTGTTTCCTCAAAAAGTTAAATATAGAATTACCATATGACCCAGCAATTCTACTTCTGGGTATATACACAAAATAATTGAAAGTAGAGTCTCTTTCAGTAGAGACTGTATTGAAATAGAGCCTCGAGTCTCTATTTCAATTACTTCAAAATAATTGAAAGTAGAGTCTCAAATATTATTATTTGAAATGATAAATTATCATTTCAAAATAATTGAAAGTAGAGTCTCGAGCCTGGGTGGCTCAGTTGGTTGAGCATCGGACCCCTGGTTTTGGCTCGGGTTGTGGTCTCAGCATTGTGGGATCGAGCCCCATGTCAGACTCTGTGCTGGGTGTGGATCCTGCTTAAGATTCTGTCCCTCCCTCTCCCTCTGCCCCTTCCCCCAGCCACTAAAAAAGAAAAAGAAAGAAGAGTCTGAAAGAGATATTTATACTCCCATGTTCATAGTGTATGAGGTTAGACACTTAGGTAGTCAGGGCCAGGATCTCCAGCAAGAAAACAGGGAGCCAGGACAGCTAAGATGAACCCACACCAGCATAATGTTTTAAGCTTAGACAAGACTATAATAGCATCCTGTCGAGCAGCCTCTGCAGGAGGGACTTCTGCAAAACATCCTGAAACAAAACAATGAACCATAAAACATTGGTCACTATCACAGTTTGAGGTAGTTAGTCTCCAGATGTCAGCCCAAAAGACTAGCAATACATGAACAATTACCTGAGAGGTAGACAGGTGATCAAAGCCCTGAATCGCACACCTTAACAGCCGGTCCCCAAGGCGCCCACACTCAGGATGCTTAAGATAGTCCGCATCGGGCTCCCTTCTCCACGGGAGGCCTGCTTCTCCCTCTCCCACTCCCCCTGCTTGTGTTCCCTCTCTCGCTGTGTCTCTCTCTGTCAAATAAATAAATAAAATCTTAAAAAACAAAAAAAAAGTTCCTCAAAAGAGCTTAAAAACCCCTAGATTGTTGTTCTTGAGCCTAAAATCTGAAGAGAACTGATGAGGTACAGTTATCATGTCTTTGAAGATTACTGAGGCCCTTGAAGAAGGTAAATCCTCAGAACTTTGCAAAATTCCAATACAAATAAGTTTTGACATGTTCATGGTAACTTCAGCCTTAATATTACAAATATTCTTAGAGTATTTGCTCCTACCTGAGCTTTATACATGTCAGTCGATGCTCAGATTAAGTAATTCTTGGCTCCTGTTTATCTCAGAATAAGATTCAAGAAAAACAATACTCAATGCTCCATTAAAAGATCTGTTTTCAGGGGCGCCTGGGTGGCTCAGTCGGTTAAGCGACTGCCTTCGGCTCAGGTCATGATCCCAGGGTCCTGGGATCGAGCCCCGCATCGGGCTCCCTGCTCCACGGGGAGCCTGCTTCTCCCTCTCCCACTCCCCCTGCTTGTGTTCCCTCTCTTGCTGTCTCTCTCTCTCTGTCAATTAAATAAATAAAATCTTAAAAAAAAAAAAAAGATCTGTTTTCAGGTTTTTCTCTTTCTTCCTCAAGGGGACAGTCAATATAAATAAGCCTCCAGAAAGCAGAGTATTTAAAAGCTTTTTTTGGAAGTCATCTGGCTCTTTATTATAGGGGAGAAAATACCATTTCCTTCTACCTTTCTAAGTTCTCTATAACAGAAGACAAATTAATGAAAGAGAGCACACAAATTTATTTAATACAAATTTTATGTGCTATAGGAGGCTTCAGAAGGAAATGAAGACCAAAGAAATGGTTAAAACCTGATTTTTATCCTAGGTTTCATCAAAAGTAGAGGGACAACAATGAAAAATAGGATAGGAAAAAAAGGAGTATGAGCTGAGAATAGTAAACGGAGGAAAACAGAGTCTTTTTGGTGTCCCCCATCTTTGGAAAGAAGCATGCTCCTTCCCTCCAGATACAGGGAGGGCACTTCTCATTTGAGGGTCTTGTGGCCTTCTTCAGGGGAAATTCAAATAGTCCTTCCTGCATGTGCTATTTCTTAAATTCCTTCAATTTATAATATTCAACATGCCAAGGTACCATATTCTGGGGTAGCATGTCCTGAACCTTGTCATTCCCCCATGCGAAACTTTCCCAAGTCTCATAGTCCAAACCCCGAGTTGGTAGACTCTCCTACAACCCACAGAACCAATCTCAGTCCTGGGAAGAGGTCAGTCCTGTCAAACAGTTGTGTCTCATTTCAGGATGTGTAGTCTAGGTGGGAGTAGATATCCACCTACATTAGGCTTTTCTATGGTATGAGCAGTCAGGCATTTAAGAACAGACATTTTTCTAGAGACAAAAGAAGAACAAAGATTAATGTTTAGAACAAACTCTAAACTCCGTTTTGAGCCCAGATGGCAGTCAGTTAAGATTTCTAGATGTTGGGTTCAAAGCTTTGAGATGGTGGAGTGAGGACAGGCAGCAACAATCTGACAGATTTTCCTGGTTTGCAGTTTGAATGTCTCTGTGGGGTCACCACGTGTTCCTGTGAACTTCCTGAGTGGCCCACACGGCTACAGGCGAAGGTTGTGATCTGCTGGGGCAATTTCTCAGATATTTAAATCAAATCAGCTATCCTCAGCTTGCAGGGCTTCCAGAAAAGGACAGTTTTGGTTCTCACTGCTTCCAAGGAAGAAGGGTGGGAGAAAAATTGGAAATGTTAATTTAGAGAATTATAGCTAGATATTGGAGGAAGCCAGAAGAATTCAGGATCCAGTCCAATTTATAGGTAGATAACAAAACCTTAAACTCGATGAACAAGAGTCGAAATTAGGACCCCCAGTGTGGATACAATTAGCTGCTGAAACATTACTTTTCTCTCTATAGTCACTCCCATTTCTATCAAAGTTAAAGTGTTTTGTTTGCAAAATAAGCCTAGTCTCATTAACTTTGGCCTGATTATTTTTTTTTTTAAGATTTTATTTATTTATTTGACAGAGAGAGACACAGCGAGAGAGGGAACACAAGCAGGGGGAGTGGGAGAGGGAGAAGCAGGCTTCCCGCCGAGGAGGGAGCCCGATGTGGGGCTTGATCCCAGGAACCTGGGATCATGACCTGAGCCGAAGGCAGACGCTCAACGACTGAGCCACCCAGGCGCCCCTGGCCTGATTATTTACACAAGTGCAGCAAGAACAGGGTTGACCATATAGACTAAAATTTTTAAGGTTGCCTTGCTGGAACTTTTAATGAGGACTCTCAAATTAGATTTAAAAGCTTCTCATGGCTAGGAAGCCAAGCCAGGAACTTGCTACTAGATTTTGCCTTCAGCACCTATAGATTTGACTGAATTCCTCTCTTCCTGGGATTCCCAAAATATTTTAAGATTCCTGGGTCTCCTAGGAAGTGACATTCCTTACTCACCTATAAGGCTGGGAAACCTGCAAGCCAATTACCAGGCCAATTTTTTCCTCAATAGAGTTTTATTAGCACTGGCTGCATGAAGACCATCTTTGTTTCTTAAAACTGTCTGGTCATATCTAATTATATACATCATTCTCAAGTATGACAGTTGAGTCAAAGCTTTAGCAATATAACCAATGTCTTCAATTAGTTCCTGTTACAAGGAAAGCAGATTTTTACTGGACTTAGGCAAATAACTATATTGCCATGAAAACAAAAAGAGTAAGAGGTTCTGAGCTCTGGAAGGACCAGGGAGGGAGAAAAACTAATTGCTTCATTTCTTTTCACAAAAGTATACTTTACCAAGTTGCTGTAAATTATAGACAGTTTAAGAGGAAACACATGTAATTAATTCTTGTTCTGGTTGATCTTTGATTAGCAGTTTTATGACCCCATCAACTTCATTGTTTGGAAAATTAGTCCACTCGTATGGTCTCAAAGTTATTCCTCATTGGGCATTCTCACCTGTAGCTGATTGCAAACACTTTCAGAGGAGGATCAGGAGTAAAAACAAGTCTTTGTCTGTGAATGACTAAAGACTGTAAAATGGCCATGGATAAAAATCTGATGAGAGGTCATTCTAATGTAACTGACAAGGAACTTTATTTCAGTGACATACAATACTTTAACATAATAACCATAATTGTGACTGATTACATGATGCTGAGCACATCATGAACATCAAGAGTACTAACAAATTTCTCTGAACTTCATACAATTCTGAAATACTTATATTAATAGCATATATCCATGCAAATACAACTGAATGAAAGAAGGTTATCATCACTTACTTGACAACACTTCCCATGCTGTTTGAGTAAACTTAATTAGCTTAACATCTCTCACAGGGTGAGAGACAAATCCTTTGAGATTTTCCAGGGACCCTCTTTAAAATACCAAAGTCAGAAAGACTTTATTTCGGGGGCACCTGGGTAGCTCAGGTCATGATCTCGGGGTGCTGAGATCAAGCCCCACATCGGGCTCCCTGCTCGACGGGGAGCCT